TTCTAATGTCGTCCATTTTCTTGACTTCCTTATCCTTTAGTTTCTTCTCTTGGTCTCTTAGTTTTGCAGCTACTTTTTTTCTTATGTCATTTATGTCATGTCTAGTGCATGTTTCCGATTTTTTATGGCACTGTGGATCAGGTTTTTAGAGGTGTCATTATCAAGGGCATCTAGGTATGCAATAGTATCATTTTGAGCCCAAAGAATGATGCCTTCTATTGTAATAGTGTTTGCATTAGGCATTTCCCTCTGCTTACGATCTAAATGCGAAAACAGCCATTCCGGTGCGAGATTGTGTTTTGGACAGGCATTCATCTCTTTACGAATTTGATCAGATGCCTCATGAAATTTCCCCCCTGGTAGATGATCCACAAGTTGTCTTTGCATGCAAAGACAAAGGCTATGAGCAATAATAATACCATTGAACCTTAATACTACATTACATTGAACATGTTCGTTTGTTATGATGGCCTGGTAGTTTGCATTTCGAACAAACTGTCTGAAGTTTGGGCGGATGTTTACAAGTACCTTCTAAAATACGTAGACGATTTTGCTTGTGCATTATCTGTGCAAGAGCTTTACTTCCAATCGATCGGAAGTACCACTTGGTTACTAATTCATTAAGTTTTTCTAGTCCCTGTTGGCAAAAATTAAAGATATTGCCATGCAATCTAATTGCTTCTGGAATGTGATATGCCAGAATGTGCATATACTGTAAGGCGTCACATCTTTTGTTAAATATAAATGACTCCCATACAAATTTACCCATTCTTTTGCGGCTTTTTCAAAATTATTGATGTCGGTTTCTGTCATACGCCTATTAAGTTGATTCATCAGTGATTGGAAATTTTTCCAAGATAAAACAATTGCTTCTAGTTTAGGATGTTCGGGTATAATTTCTTCTAAATTTATTTTTGACATAATTAAACGGTGTTCAGGGCCTGTAAATGATTCATATTTTAATTTTCCATCTTTCACAAAAAAGTACCATTCTGAAATACCAATATTGGCAATAAATAAGTGTTGACATTTTGATAAATTTTCAGGTGAAAGCCGAACATGATTATCTAAATCTTGTAGGTACTTTATTAAATGGTAGACCATTTGATCAGAAATTCGAAGAAACAAATGTAGCGTGTCTGGCACCACATTTACCAGCTGAATTGAACTAAAAAGAGGCTTTGATACACAATTGTAATTGTTTTTTTTCTTACCAGCCAATGAACAAATTTCCTCAAGAGTTCTTGCACCTTTAGATACATCACACATAGACCATTCTTTTTCCATGTCAAATCTCAAGTCTTTTGGGCATTTGCACCATAAACAGGAGTAAGATCTAGCAAATCCCCCTATTCCCATTATTTGGTTCAGAAATTTAAGGTCACCGCCACGGAATTTCTCAATTCGAATTGTCTTTTCATTGATAATAATTGATGTAAGATTATCATATTCTTCAAACAGTTTGCTCAATGTAGCTTTTAAGCATTATTATTTTCTGGGCACTAGACAATAGCCAAAAGATAATTGCCCTGTTCAGACTTGCAAGTTTTTTTCCCTATTATTGTAAATTAAAGTTTACAAAATGTGATTTTCTTCCCTGCACGGGTTCCATCCCCACTCAATTTTACTTTAGCAACTCCATCTTTCAATAAATGGTCCTTATGCGGGTCACTCAAAACAGAGTGAAGAGTTTGTTGTATAGAGCGAAAAACACCAATGTATCTATTATCACCAACTGTTTTGTCAATTTCTGTTAAGGGGCATGTTTCTTTCATTTTTTGTTTTCTTTTAAACAGTAAATTTACTCTGGGCAATGTAGAATAACGTTGAGCTATTTCATGATAACCTTTAATTGGTATATTAAAAGAATCAAGGACAAAAATCATTTCTTCAATTTCTTTTTCCAAAGCACTGTTGTTGGCTTCATTTTCATCAGAAATAGATATATCTAATAACTTGCCTTTCATATCCCTCATTTTCAAATGAAGCAGTATAAACCCAGCATCCATTGCCATATCCTTGAAATTGTTTTGAATTGTGTTAATGTTTTTAGCACGATTTCTATACACTTGTGACTTTTGATAGGTTATTTTTTTCTTAGCTTTCCCTCTCTTACATTTCTGGATATTTCTATCTCGTTTGAATAATTAAATTATTTTACAAGATGTCAATGACTTGTTACTGTACAGTAAGTTCTTGTGCTGTTCATACCTACCAATGAATACCATTCTCATCATCATCAATCAAATATTTATATTGTACCCTGAAGTTTGGTGAACAAATAAATCTTAGGTTCTGTAATAGAGCATCTAAAATTAAAAATTAATAGCTAGTTATTGTTTTTATTTTTTGGACTAGGTAAATTTATTTATTGGTCAAACAAAGTAAAATTTGATAATCGGTATCAAAATTGTTGAAATTGTATTGAAGTGGTTAAAGGATTCTTTTCATGACATTTCTTTGCTAGAGGATCAATGGCATATGAGATAAGAAAAAATTGAGAAACTTGAGCATCAATGTAACACTTGTCTTGCAATTGTGCATCTGCAGCAATACATTAATCATGACCTGCGACCCGTGGACAACCAGTGGGGTAAACTCGTCACAATTGTCTATGACACATGGATCAGCTTATGGACAAATCAAATACTGAGACCACAAACTTTTGAATTGCAAGAACTTTGCGGTATACTGCTATGAATGCTTGGACACAAACAGATTGGACCTTCAGGTCCCCGCAGAGATTCTACCAGTCTTCTCCCTCAAAAGAGTTGGTGCAGATTAAACAAGCTGATTACTTGTCATGCTAAGAACATGAAACAAACCAACACCTGCCTATGATATGGGGCTAGTAAGCAAACTTGATGGTGGAATCGACTATGACCCTACAGCAATCAGTGATTATTAGACCTAGATATTATGATGTGTATGATTCACTGTACAATGCATAGTGAGGGTAACAGGTTGGTTGTCCCACAAGAACTTCATTGAACAACTCATTGCAATCACTGAATTTACATCCGCTGACCTATCAAATCAATGCAGGATCGTATACAGGTGACACAAAGGAGGAAAACATTACTGAGCAATCTTTACAAGGCATCTGATCTCTATATTGGAGTTCAACTTGTTTCATCTGATCTGTGACAGGTCCTGCAAATGTGACATGATTGTTGGCATCTGTCGATCAATTTTGATACCCAACACAAAGAGTGGGTAGCTCTGAACTTTCTTCAAAAGCCATATTTTGTTTAAAGTGAAAATCTTTGGCAACGAGTGACTGTATGCTGGAATGAACAGAATTTATGATTGAACCAGAAAACTGCAATAATAAATGTATTATCCACAATTGATGATTGATTCGAAGTATGAAATTTTATAAAGAAATTGGACATCAAGATCATTTCATTAGAGACTGTGGATGACATGGCTGAATTTCTTATCTCATTATGACCATTGGGATCCTTAGACCTTAAATAATAAAAAGAAAGACAGAAAACACCATATCTTGATGAACTTTTTACTGCATACTGAAATGTTCCATAATGTGACCAGGAAAATTGTACATATATATATAAAGTATTTATTTTCCATTGGATTGAAAACATCAATTTTGGCCGTCATCAAATGTCAGCTACAAAATAGCAAAGGAATGGATACAAAGTTGAAAGGAAAAGAGAGGATACAATGAGGTGGTCAATCATGGCATAAGACTGCTCTATAACAGTAGACAAAGGTAACAAAGAACATTGACATCAGAATGAAAATGCATGCAATGCTGTGTTTATGCAATAAAGAAAAATATATTAAATTCAATAATTCTTTATTTTTCTTTAAAGTATATTTAATAACAAAAATAATGATTTTTCAAAGAGTTTGATTTTTTTTTCTGGAGAAAAAAAATATAGATGCCCAAGACATTCACCAGTTATGGATTTTACAAAATAATGCTTTTGATATTGAATTCAAATTTATTTAAATAAATTTATTAGTTTATTGTCATGAAACAATTTGAAGATGAATCCTTTATTTTTCATTTGAATTAATGTATGAAACACATTGTTGTTATAGTCTGTAATGTGCCCCAACATTAATAATACTGAATTATTCCACTATTTAGGCTTTGCCCATGTATGTACACTCCCACCCATTCAAGGCCAGGTTGTGTGTACCATGCTCTACTTGTCCCCTTGTCTTTGTTGTTCTGCTTAAAGTCAGGGCGTGTAACCCATGCCTTCGTTGGCCCCTCATACTCTGTAAAATTTTCAGAAGTCAATCTTTCTGCTCTTCCTTACTTGCAGCATCATACTTTTCCCAATATCCAATTATGAAGCAGTAAATAAAATTACATTGAACAACCTAACAGCATTTTAGGAACTACTGAAAGGTCCACTGAATAATCTCAGATAAGATAGTATAATACATACTCAAAGTATCGAAATGCATCGTGTTGGGATTCTATATTTCAACATTAATTATGTCATCATCAGTAATATTCCTGATGATGACATAATTAATGTTGAAATATTGAATCCCGAAACGATGGCATGCATTTCGATACTTGGAGTGTATTATACAATTTTAGGAAGTACAGTACATACTGTGTAAAATTTTCAAAAGATAAATCTTTCTGATCTTCCTTACTTGCAACACTATACTGTACCTTGTTTACATACAATTAGGAGTTTACATCCTACTCCAGATAGCAGGTAATCCGTAGCGTGTATATACAGCTGACAACGTAGGTATTATCATGAAATGTATTCTCTCTCGATTGCTGAAATGTTTATTTCTTTGACGAAAGTCTATCAAAATAGCATTACAAACAAGCTCTTTCTAACACAATAGTTATTCATCGTATCCGTAGTGTACTGCTGATAAACGCGTACTGCAGGAGCAAAAATCAGCATACGCCCAGCTAAATATAAATACGCACACATATACTGATCATATCACTATAGCAACCGATGACTGCTACAACAGTTGGTTATAAAAAACTAAAATTAAGAGACGGCGATTGACTTATAAAGCAATTAGTAGAGCATGCATCATACACTAAATGGAAAATTATTATACTTAGGTTAGATGAGAACATGAGAACTTATACTGTAATAAAGATTTAATTCACACAAAGAATATATAATATACAGTCGTACATTGTGATTGGTCACAGGTCACTTAATTTACAATAGGGGTGGGACATTCCACTATTATAGAGTGTACTAAATCATGTGTGTGTTAAAAGCAATTTGATAACTGACATTAACATTTATAATCAATTTCCTGCCAAGAGATCGCTCAAGTTTCTTGAGAAGTTTTTGATTAATTTTCTTTTTGTGACCGTCTGCTATTGATAAAGGAAAATATGTGTGTTGATGCACTCATATTTTTCAAGTAATGTATATCGCAGACCTTCGATCTATGAATTTGCTCAGACACCTGTGTGTTGATAATTCCTCGTAGTTGGGGGCAATGTCCCACTCTCCGAAGAATCTCTGCCTCTCTTTTGGTATTCCCTTGATGGAAAACATCATAAAGGCAAAGTTTGGCATTTTTCTCTACTGTATGTGAATAGGGCATGCTAGAATTAGGACTGCCTCCAAGCAATTCAATGTTAACCTGTAATAATCCTTCTTGTGTTGCCTTTATGTTTCTTTCTGTTGGCTCAACCAACATGCCACGAAAGGGATGGAACATGCCAGGATAACGATTATTTCTGTGTCTTGCGACAATATGTGGCATGACACAGATGAGAACTTTCTGCAGTTAACTCAGTGACATTAGGATGTCGGTGTAGTTCCTTGGGACTTTCAGACCATAATAGGAATTTCACTGCGTACACAACTTTATGAGAGCAGCTGACAGAAAGCCATCCACCTGTAGAGTTAAAAAAAAAACAGTGGTTAAGTATGTTGGGTAATAAAATCATTTTTATTTTTATTATTATTATTATTATTATTATGTTACTAAAACCTACCTTAAGGGAAACTTAAGACAGTTTTTGATTAATTTCCTGTTTGTGACCATCTATGCTATTGATAAAGGAAAATATGTGTGTTGATGCACTCATATTGTTCAAGTAATGTATATCGCAGACCTTCGATCTATGAAGTTGCTCAGACACATGTGTGTTGATAATTCCTCGTAGTTGGGGGCAATGTCCCACTCTCCAAAGAATCTCTGCCTCTCTTTTGGTATTCCCTTGATGGAAAACATCATAAAGGCAAAGTTTGGCATTTTTCTCTACTGTATGCGAATAGGGCATGCTAGAATTAGGACTGCCTTCAAGCGATTCAATGTTAACATGTAATCCTTCTTGTGCTGCCTTTATGTTTCTTTCTGTTGGCTCAACCAACATGCCACAAAAGGGATGGAACATGCCAGGATAACGATTATTTCTGTGTCTTGCGACAATATGTGGCATGTCGCAGATGAGAACATTCTGCAGTTAACTCGGTGACATTAGGATGTCAGTGTAGTTCCTTGGACTTTCAGATCATAATAGGAATTTCACTGCATACACAACTTTATGAGAGAATACATAGTTATAATTCTTGGTTTTCCTCTACCTAGATAAAGTTCACAAAGGATCTGTAAGGCTTTGCGCCCATCATCTTTAGCGTCACAGATTATAAGTGATAACGATCTGTCATCCAGACATTGAACAAGCTCCGCAAAAGCATTTTCATTCTTGTTCGCGTCAGAAGGATTCCCATCTCCTGGATTTATTACACCATGTAACTTTTGTAGACGCATACATCCCAAAAACTTAACTTCCCAAAGTTCATACTGGGACTCATCGCCGTTGAACAAAATTCTTCTGGGCCCATCACCTGTTAGATTATCAGTAGCCATAGTAGTTTTGGAAGCAAATGAGGGGTAAAAAAAATAAAGCTACATCTCAACAGTGTTACATGAGAACTTATACTGTAATAAAGATTTAATTTTACCCTCCAAGGGGTCACCTCTTAGAGTAGCAGGCTTATAGGCAGAGAAGTAGCAAGGAGCCACTGTTCTCGACACACAGTGGTGGTGTGGTGTTTTTTTTTTCTAAAAATGCTGAATTTAATACTGCTCACCTCCTTCAATCTCAGGTTCTACTTCTTTTGTGGCAAAGTTTTCGTCATGTTCCTCTATTGTAGGCCTACTACTGCTTGAAGTGGTTTCTGAAATGTTTATAAATTAAATAAAATTCCTTTCAAGTAATGGCAATTAATGTGTTAATTAACCAATGTGTTAATTTATATCACCATGGGCATATATTAGTGTTCAGAAGGTGTTTTTAAAGTGTCATAAATTTCAATTTAACATATGTTAACGTAATGTTGTAACCTGTTTACCTCTTTCAAATACAAGCTCGAGTGCATGCAACTGTATTTATTTAAAATAGAAACGTTCGGCCCATTCTCGGGATTGAAACCCATGACCTTCTGCTGTTTAATGCAGGCACATTAAAGGGACCTTAACCAATTGGACCATTGATTTGGGAATTCAAATGCAATTGTAACTCTAATTCCTCTCTTTCACAAGCATATATATATACACACACACACACACACAAATTTCCTACTTGGAGCAATAAAGTGTATCTTATCTTATCTTAAATTAAAATTGCCTTCAATTAAATAACATTTTACAATTCAGTACAGCGCCGATGAACATTTTTAATGGATATTGTTTTGCGCTTTATTAAATGAAGTTATTATTATTATTATTATTTTACGGTACCATACCGGTTTCCTCTGTAACCGTTGCTTGTCCATTAGCATTTATAATAAATTTCCTGCCAAGAGATCGCTCAAGTTTCTTGAGAAGTTTTCGATTAACTTCCTGTTTGTGACCGTCTATGCTATTGATAAAGGAAAATATGTGTGTTGATGCACTCATATATTGTTCAAGTAATGTATATCACAGACCTTCGATCTATGAAGTTGCTCAGACACCTGTGTGTTGATAATTCCTCGTAGTTGGGGGCAATGTCCCACTTTCCAAAGAATCTCTGCCTCTCTTTTGGTATCCCCTTGATAGAAAACATCATAAAGGCAAAGTTTGGCATTTTTCTCTACTGTATGTGAATAGGGCATGCTAGAATTAGGACTGCCTCCCTTCAAGTGATTCAATGTTAACCTGTAATCCTTCTTGTGCTGCCTTTAACCTTCGACCGGGTCTCTTATTACACAGAAATGAATTGACTCTGTACAACAACTTGTGGAGTTTAACCTTGTTTTCAGATACCTTGGATGTCATAGATCCAAGGTCACCATAAATGAATAATATTCCAAGGGGTCACCTCTTAAAGTACCAGGCCAGGCAAAGAAGTAGCAAGGAGCCACTGTTCTCAACACACAGTGGTGGTGTGGTGTTTTTTGTTTTTTTTTTAAATGCTGAATTTAATAAAATTTCTCACCTCCTTCAACCTCAAGTTCTACTTCTTTTGTGGCATAGTTTTTGTCATGTTCCTCTATTGTAGGCCTACTACTGCTTGAAGTGGTTTCTGAAATGTTTATAAATTAAATAAAATTCCTTTCAAGTAATGGCAATTAATGTGTTAATTAACCAATGTGTTAATTTATATCTCAATGGGCATATACAGTATTAGTGTTCAGAAGGTGTTTTTAAAGTGTCATAAGTTTCAATTTAACATTATGTTAACGTAATGTTGTTTAAACCTGTTTACCTCTTTCAAATACAAGCTCAAGTGCATGCAACTGTATTTATTTAAAATAGAAATGTGCGGCCAATTCTCTGGCCATCAGTTTGAATCTGCAAGTGTGTAAAAAATTTCCCAACCAGGATTCAAACCCATGACCTCCTGCTGTTTAATGCAGGCACCTTAAAGGGACCTTAACCAATTGGACCATTGATTTGGGAATTCAAATGCAATTGTAACTCTAATTCCTCTCTTTCACAAGCATATATATATATACACACACAAATTTCCAACTTGGAGCAATAAATTGTATCTTATCTTATCTTAAATTAAAATTGCCTTCAATTAAATAACATTTTACAATTCAGTACAGCACCGATGAACATTTTTAATGGATATTGTTTTGCGCTTTATTAAATGAAGTTATTATTATTATTATTTTACGGTACCATACCGGTTTCCTCTGTAACCGTTGCTTGTCCATTAGCATTTATAATAAATTTCCTGCCAAGAGATCGCTCAAGTTTCTTGAGAAGTTTTTGATTAATTTCCTTTTTGTGACCGTCTGTGCTTTTTTTTTTTAAAGGAAAATATGTGTGTTGATGCACTCATATAGTTCAAGTAATGTATATTGCAGATCTTTGATCTATGAAGTTGCTCAGACACCTGTGTGTTGATAATTCCTCGTAGTTGGGGGCAATGTCCCACTCTTGAAGAATCTCTGCCTCTCTTTTGGTATTCCGTTGATGGAAACATCATAAAGGCAAAGTTTGGCATTTTTCTCTACTGTATGTGAATAGGGCATGCTAGAATTAGGACTGCCTCCTGCCTCCAAGTGATTCAATATTAACATGTAATAATCCTTCTTGTGCTGCCTTTATGTTTCTTTCTGTTGGCTCAACCAACATGCCACGAAAGGGATGGAACATGCCAGGATAGCGATTATTTCTGTGTCTTGCGACAATATGTGGCATGTCGCAGATGAGAACATTCGGCAGTTTACTCAGTGACATTAGGATGTCGGTGTAGTTCCTTGGACTTTCAGATCGTAATAGGAATTTCACTGCGTACACAACTTTATGAGAGCAGCTGACAGAAAGCCATCCACCTGTAAAGTTAAAAAAAAACAGTGGTTAAGTATGTTGGGTAATAAAATCATTTTTATTTATATTATTATTATTATTATTATTATTATTATTATTATTATTATTATTATGTTACTAAAACCTACCTTAAGGGAAACTTAAGACAGTTTTTGATTAATTTCCTGTTTGTGACCGTCTATGCTATTGATAAAGGAAAATATGTGTGTTGATGCACTCATATTGTTCAAGTAATGTATAATGCAGACCTTCGATCTATGAAGTTGCTCAGACACCTGTGTGTTGATAATTCCTCATAGTTGGGGGGCAATGTCCCACTCTCCAAAGAATCTCTGCCTCTCTTTTGGTATTCCCTTGATGGAAAACATCATAAAGGCAAAGTTTGGCATTTTTCTCTACTGTATGTGAATAGGGCATGCTAGAATTAGGACTGCCTTCCTTCAAGTGATTCAGTGTTAACATGTAATAATCCTTCTTGTGCTGCCTTTATGTTTCTTTCTGTTGGCTCAACCAACATGCCACAAAAGGGATGGAACATGCCAGGATAACGATTATTTCTGTGTCTTGCGACAATATGTGGCATGTCGCAGATGAGAACATTCGGCAGTTAACTCAGTGACGTTAGGATGTCAGTGTAGTTCCTTGGACTTTCAGATCGTAATAGGAATTTCACTGCGTACACAACTTTATGAGAGCAGCTGACTGAAAGCCATCCACCTGTAAAAACAGTGGTTAAGTATGTTGGGTAATAAAATCATTTTTATTTTTATTATTATTATTATTATTATTATTATTATGTTACTAAAACCTACCTTAAGGGAAACTTAAGACAGTTTTTGATTAATTTCCTGTTTGTGACCGTCTATGCTATTGATAAAGGAAAATATGTGTGTTAATGCACTCATATTGTTCAAGTAATGTATATCGCAGACCTTCGATCTATGAAGTTGCTCAGACACCTGTGTGTTGATAATTCCTTGTAGTTGGGGGCAATGTCCCACTCTCCGTAGAATCTCTGCCTCTCTTTTGGTATTCCCTTAATGGAAAACATCATAAAGGCAAAGTTTGGCATTTTTCTCTACTGTATGCGAATAGGGCATGCCAGAATTAGGACTGCCTCCAAGCGATTCAATGTTAACATGTAATAATCCTTCTTGTGTTGCCTTTATATTTCTTTCTGTTGGCTCAACCAACATGCCACGTAAGGGATGGAACATGCCAGGATAACGATTATTTCTGTGTCTTGCAACAATATGTGGCACGTTGCAGATGAGAACATTCTGCAGTTTACTCAGTGACGTTAGGATGTCAGTGTAGTTCCTTGGACTTTCAGATCGTAATAAATAACATTTTACGGTACCATACCGGTTTCCTCTGTAACCTGTTGCTTTGTCCATTAGCATTTATAATAAATTTCCTGCCAAGAGATTGCTCAAGTTTCTTGAGAAGTTTTTGATTAATTTCCTGTTTGTGACCGTCTATGCTATTGATAAAGGAAAATATGTGTGTTGATGCACTCATATTGTTCAAGTAATGTATATCGCAGACCTTCGATCTATGAAGTTGCAAAGACACCTGTGTGTTGATAATTCCTCTGTGTCTTGCGACAATATGTGGCATGACACAGATGAGAACATTCTGCAGTTTACTCAGTGACATTAGGATGTCGGTGTAGTTCCTTGGACTTTCAGATCATAATAGGAATTTCACTGCGTACACAACTTTATGAGAGAATACATAGTTATAATTCTTGGTTTTCCTCTACCTAGATAAAGTTCACGAAGGATCTGTAAGGCTTTGCGCCCATCATCTTTAGCGTCACAGATTATAAGTGATAACGATCTGTCATCGAGACATTGAACAAGCTCCGCAAAAGCATTTGCATTCTTGTTCGCGTCAGGAGGATTCCCATCTCCTGGATTTATTACACCATGTAACTTTTGTAGACGCATATATCTCAAAAACTTAACTTCCCAGAGTTCATACTGGGACTCATTGCTGTTGAACAAAATTCTTCTGGGCCCATCACCAAGCAATTTGACAACTGACCTCCCAAGGTATAATTTACAAATAAACTAATCAATCTGTCACTATAATGTCAATAAAATGAGAGCCTCACTTTGTTAACAATTGTTAACAGTTGTTTATGGTTCGGTTATTTGAGGGAGGCATTTATTCCCAATGAGTCGTTAGAGGGGCATTTATTCAAAGCGGGGCATTTATTTGAATGAATACATTATTACAGTTACAGACTTTCCATCCCATCTGGTTCTCACGAGAGCCCTAGTATCCGGATGATCTATCTTTCTTTACACCACCTAATCTCATTTCAATATTGGTTTGTTTCATTTCATGGCACACATTTAGCTTTTTGTGTACCACCACTTCGCTTAGCAAAGATCTCTTTTGACATCTGCAAAGCACTGTAATCCATTTAACTCAATCTTAGGTGCCTCCATGGGCTGAGCTACTATTCTGGAGACCCAAGCCTGAACAATTAGCGTAGTGCTTATTCTCAAATCTTTCCTTCAATACATTTCTGCTAATGTATAACCTTCGACCGGGTCTCTTATTACACAGAAATGAATTGACTCTGTACAACAACTTGTGGAGTTTAACCTTGTTTTCAGATACCTTGGATATCATAGATCCAAGGCCACCATAAATGAATAATATTCCAAGGGGTCACACCTTAAAGTAGCAGGCCAGGCAAAGAAGTAGCAAGGAGCCACTGTTCTCAACGCACAGTGGTGGTGTGGTGTTTTTTTGTTTTTTTTAAATGCTGAATTTAATAAAACTGCTCACCTCCTTCAACGTCAAGTTCTACTTCTTTTGTGGCAAAGTTTTTGTCATGTTCCTCTATTGTAGGCCTACTACTGCTTGAAGTGGTTTCTGAAATGTTTATAAATTAAATAAAATTCCTTTCAAGTAATGACAATTAATGTGTTAATTAACCAATGTGTTAATTTATATCTCAATGGGCATATACAGTATTAGTGTTCAGAAGGTGTTTTTAAAGTGTCATAAGTTTCAATTTAACATTATGTTAACGTAATGTTGTTTAAACCTGTTTACCTCTTTCAAATACAAGCTCAAGTGCATGCAACTGTATTTATTTAAAATAGAAATGTGCAGCCAATTCTCTGGCCATCAGTTTGAATCTGCAAGTGTGTAAAAAATTCCCCAACCAGGATTCAAACCCATGACCTCCTGCTGTTTAATGCAGGCACCTTGAAGGGACCTTAACCAATTGGACCATTGATTTGTGAATTCAAATGCAATTTTAACCTCTCTCTTACCTTAAATTAAAACTGCCTTCAATTAAATAACATTTTACAGTACCATATCGGTTTCCTCTGTAACCGTTGCTTGTCCATTAGCATTTATAATAAATTTCCTGCCAAGAGATAAGAGAAAATAGTGGTTAAGTATGTTGGGTAATATAATCATTTTTATTTTTATTATTATTATTAATATTATTATTATTATTATTATGTTACTAAAACCTCAATAAGTGAACTTTATCAATGTCCTACGTGGCATATCCATTAAATGATAACGGACTGAATGACAAGTACACCAGGGTAACCCCTACTATTTTCGAAGGATGTACTGGGTCTTTGTGCACATGAGCCATTTGAACCAGCGCTGATATTATAACTGAAGGTTACGGCTTCCTGACTTAACTGCTCGGCCAATCAACTCGTCATTATTTATGCAATGCTAGTAACCTAGTTGTTCAATGCTTGGGGGTACATAAAATAGACATTTTACTTTATTTTGTACAGAATGATGATGTCCCATTAAATTTTTTTCCTTTTATTTCTACAGTAACTCCTGGAAAAATGTGTCGGCTTAATAAAAACTTAATTTGTGTACAGTATTGAGACATCCACTTTGGTATCGCACTACTTTTGGTATTACACTACTTTTGGTATTAGGTAAGTTCGTGGTTCTAGAAATAAGATTAATAATGTTTACTTATTTTTCCACGTATAGTACCATTATTAACCATGATTTCAATAAAATGGTTAATATTTCAGGTGTTCTTGTCCATCAACAACTTCAAGGCGGAGGTTGCCCACCTGACTGGTTTGTCCAAGACGAGACTGAAGTCCTAATACAATAATTTATATGATAAGTCAATCGTGACGTCATCACTGCAACTCCAATGTCTATCCCCCGCAGTCCACTAATTTTTCAATTAGTGGATGCTTGGTTAGATTTTTTTTAGGTTTGTGTACAAAAGAAAAGTCTTATTATTTCGTCACCGCGAAGACATCGTGCACTTTGATGAAAATTGAATTGTAATTGATAATCACTTTCATAAAATAAGTTTAATTCAATATTAAATATGAACAATTAAGGAATTCATTGAATCAATGGACCCTCATGAACAAAACAAAAACTGAAGATTTAACCTGATTTTCTCACCTTGCATTTTCATATTTATTATTTAAATTTTTTATTTTCTTAAGTTTCTTTTAATGTTCCTTTTAAATATTTTTTAATTTGTAGTTAAGTTATCATTATTTTTGGTTACAATGTGTATATATCTGCTTTTAACATTTTGTAGTTAAGAACTGAACCACTTTGGAAAGTAATACTATGTATTGAAAGTGTATATTCAGTATAAAGAAAGAATAAATAAATAAAATAGCATTACAAACAAGTTCTTTCTAACACAATGCAAATTACAAGAGTTATTCATCGTATACGTACTGTACTGCTGATGTGTAGTTAACGCGTACTGCAGGAGCACAAATCAGCATACACACAGCTGAATGTAAATAGGCACACAGTATACTGATCCTATCACTATAGCAACCGATGACTGCTTTGTTTGTTATCAAAAACTAAAATTTAAAGACGGCGATTGATTTATAAAGCAATTAGTAGAGCATGCATCGTACACTAACAAAAAAAAATTATTATACTTAGGTTAGATTTAATGCATTCAAGAATTTAACCTTCGTATAATAATTTTTCTATATTGTAATATGCGGAGCTCTACTAATTGCTTATAATTATATAATCTAATGGAATATATAAGTAAATAAGTATTTTTCTTTTTTTTTTTAATTTTACCTTCGACCTGACCAAAAAAATCACCTCTCCACAACAACTGCAAATTATTGATTATGTAAATATACTAAATTAATTAATTGTAACCAATTGTAATTATTGTAACTAAACTAATATTATTTGGTGAATAATTTATTTTATACTAAATGAAAATTGTTTAAATAAATTATCTAGACTAAATATTGTATATTGTAAGATGAATTTCTTTTATTATAATGTCATGTTAACTGTATTGTATGTTTAAATATGATTTATTGTATGTGCTCTGGGGTCGGCTTGCTGGTAGAGTGCTTTATAAATGTCACATATTAATAACTCCCAGCTAATGCTCACAACATTTTGCATAAATCTGTCACACAAGTTATGATACACAAAATTAGCATAAGCAGAACTCATATCTTAATGAGGGCACCCAGTTAGCATGCTCAATTATTATGTATAAAACTGAGGCATTCCAGTATGTTTTAGGCTTGAAAATGATGATGTGGTCTGTAATGTAAGTAATACCAGGGAACAGTTAACCGTTCCCTGGTAATACATTAGGTATAATATTTTTTTGTACCTGTACTATCATTATTGACAGTTCCCAAAACTGGTCTATCCTATTGTTTGATTAGGGTTTGCCCATTGCTTAACAATGGGCTCAGAGCTTCAAAGGAGCTTGTACAGTAGGTAGCCTTGATCAGTAGAGTAAGACTGCTTTGATCGTTAGTTTAAACATGGAGGTATAAATACCTCCGTGGTTTAAATCACTGTTATGTCACCTACTAGAGATAATGTTTTGATTGGTATTTGTGCATATAAGATTGTAAATATGGATAATTTTTTTCATTCCTAAATATGACATAATTAATGTTGAAATATTGAATCTCAACATGATGGCATGCATTTCAATATTTGGAGTATATATTATAATTTTTTAATGTTTTGAGGACAATAAATGAGAGCCAATGCAGTTCAATTGATGTTCCTGTCAGTACCCAAGTCAGTATGGTATATTCAGTTCATATTACTATATACTAAATAAAAGTGTTTTAACTTCAATTTTGTATACTGTATTGTTAAACTTTATTTCAAATTCATTGTGTTTTTAAAAAATAAATGCATTGGTATTTATCTCAATTTCATTGTGTGCATGTCTATTTATTAACCCAATGCCGGGTGTTCATTCAAATTAATGGAACATTTAATTATATTTAATGCACATAAATAGGCAAAACTATAATTAAATCCATTAGCAGATTTATCTCTGTCATTTTAAACCCTGGGCAATTTTATTCCTATTATCATTCTAACTTATTCATAACTATCCCCTCTGTAGGAGATAATATTGGTAACATTAATATAATAACACATAGCATAATAATCATTACAGAAAGGCATGTGGTAATAGATAGACTTGTATAATATTACTTGGTACCAGGTCACTACGATGTATTGTCACTGGTGACGTCATCACTTTCATTTGCACTGAATCTTCCTATCCCTGACTGATATAGTCCCAAAGCTGGGGTACAGTACATCGCAATGGAATATTTCGTTGCTAGGCTAAGCTATGAACGCATGCTGCGAACATTTAATAAAATGTCACTCTACGGCGCTGGACTCAAAAGTCTTTTTCCGTAATAGGCAAGGTCTAGAAAGGCATAATGGTAATGAGATAACAATGTGATTGTGCAAAAATTAGGCAAAGCTGAAATAATGCATAATAATGTTTACAATACATTTTAATTAAAGAAATGTCTGCCAGTAGAGCTGTGTAAAGAGTGTCGGTGTGCGTACTACTAACAAATCATCGTGATAGTGATGGATATGGATGGGGATCTCTCTAAGACTAATCTAAAAGAGTTGTCCGTAAATGTTATACTTGTAATAATCTTGTGTAAAGTGAACTGAGGGGTTGTGTATTTTACTGTAACATAACAATTTTTAATTAAATAAGATTATATAATTGTGTATGCACCACACACCATGTGCATAAAACTTGCAAAAGCTAGTGCCAGCCGAGCTGTAGCCTTAAACGGAAGGAGTAATATGCGCACGTAATGCATACCCACAGTAATCACTCAGCAACCGGCCACCACAACCAGCAGTTTAATTTTTTTGATTAGAGAGCCATAGAAAATGTGGATGTCACAACTGACTTAAAAAGCAATTATAGTAAAACAAATGCAGTAATGCATCTAATAAAAATAATATAATAATATATGAAGCTTATAAACGACATGTTTTGACGTGTCACCCGTCATTATCAGACAATAATACTTGTAGTAATTTCATATCAGGAAATAATGGCTCCTTTGGCTTCTTTTACAATAATGTCTTTTTTATAGACTACCAAAAAAATAAACAGCAGAAATTCCAACCAAATTATTAAAAAATACTTTATTTATAAAACATATTTCATAGTTATTTGCATAATAAAATTTTAATTACAGTATTAAAAAAAAAACAAGTATAGTCACAATCACAAAAAAAAAATGACGAAGAACAAACAAATACTCGTAATTTGGTAAGTCGTGCTCATAGCGCAGCTAAATTGTTTGTAGAAAACCATTGGAAAGAAGCAATTTTCAATGGTCACAGAAAGAATCCAAATTCGCGCAATAATCTGCGCACTTATCACTCATTTAAATCCATTTATGGAACAGCTACTTATGTAACCATTTTCATGAAGAAATGTAATAGGTGAGCGTTAGCCCTTTTTAGGTCAGGTTGTGCCCCGATTGCAATTGAGGTTGGGCATAATAACAATATACCAGTTGATGATATAAAATGCTGTCTGTGCAACTTGAACAGTATAGAAAATAAATTACACTGCTTTACCCACCTGTACGATTATATTGTTCAAATCAACCCATCCTTTGCAGATTTAACCTCTAATGACAAATTCAATTTTTTAATGAGCGATGGCAACCACTATTATAGGGTAGCTAAATTTGCCTATCAAATCCTCTTTTTATGGCAGTCTGTTGTGTTTAAGTAAATCCTATTTTAAGAAATGTTTGTATATTTTGTTTTTAAAACTTTTTTAATCATGTTTCTGCATGTGTTTTAAAAATGTCCTGTATTTCACTCATAAGCCAGAATTGGCTGGCCTCTATTTTAATCTGAGAATGTGAAACAAATAAGTAAAGAAATAACTATTTTGGCGGGCCAAAGACAGTGTTTTAATTCATTTTTGCGAGCTGCAAAAAAATCACTGGCAGGCCCCACCTGTAACTTGAAAAACATTTATTAATGAGAAACATTTACTGAATGAAATTTAGTTAAAGACAAACAGTGAGAAACATCTGAGCTTACACTTATACAAATTACATTATGAAATAAAAACATTAGGGAAACTTACAGTATCCATGTCTACTGTTTTAAAATACATCTTCACTTAAATATTTTACATTTAAATTTAAAGGTGGGTTTCCTCCTCATGGAATGCAGGGTTTGTAACTCCACTAAAACTAAAATTATTGTTGTCAGAAATTTCTTGCATAAGTTCCACAGATGAATCATCGCTTAGAGCGACTTCTCCACCCATATCCACACGGAGACGTTGGTTGGCTGCTTCAGATTGTTCTTTGGAACCATCATCATCTGCATTAATGGTATAAACATATGTTCTTTGTTTAGCTGTTGTTGTTGATATATCAGAGTTTTTGTCAGAGTCATGCACTGAATCATCATCAGAAAATTCAGAGGAGTGGTTGACAGTGTAAGTATGTTTTTTACACCCATCAGATTCTGAATCTGACTCCTCAGATTCTATCTCTGTTACATGCCCATTCACAATCGGCTCATCTTTATCACCATTTGTTTTCAGTTTGTATGTTGTCACACTTAAGACGGTAGCCTGCGTGGATGACGATGTTGATTCTGATGATACATCCGCACATTCTCCATCCTCTTGGATGGTAGTGGGTCTCATTACTTTTGCGTAGAGATCATGATTATGTCGGCCATGTTCCAACGATGACCCTTCTGTCAACGATGAAATCATCGATGCCTCTTCCTCTGCGATAGTACTTAACTGGTTGTCATAATCAAGCTCTTGTCGGTATGCTGCTGCTGCAGAGTCTGTTGATGTCAATTCCTCAAGCATCTGGTGGATTTCCTTGACCCGCTTGGGTGTCAACATGCCACTATGCGTCTCCTCAAGTTCAGACTCATTTATTGGGATAGCACGAGGGTCTAGTGATGATCCATAGGCTGCAAGTTCTTGCTTTAAAAGTTCAATTGAACTCGCTTCAGATGGCGTATTGCTTGAGCTTTGGCCTGGCGGTGGAGGAGGTGGAGGTAGTGCATTCTGGATTGTTCCATTCTTGGCTTTGTGTGAGGCATCAAATGTGGTTGTCCCAGAGAAGAAGTCCATTGGCCCATCCTGGTAAAAAAAGGAGATACAATACACTGGTAAATAAATCATTTTTTATACAAAAGAATATCAGAATTATTCATTTAAATTAAAATCAAGTTTATTACTATGAATTATTATAGCAAAGATGTACTGATAAATATCCGCTATATAAATATAACATTATTGTTATTATTATATAAAAAGTTGTAAGTAATAAGTTGGAATGATTTCCACATTTGAACAGTGCAGACAATAAATGGTAACTTATTCTAAAGAAATAATGAGCTTGCTGGTTGTGGTATTACGTACCCTGTATGGCACTTGCCGGCTGTCAATCAATGATATACTATCGGGCCAGTCACTCATGCTAGCCTCTCCATCCAGCCAAAAAGGATTGTCACTAGAAAATTACACAATACATTGAAATCTAGTGCTATATGTACTGAATACTATATGTACTAAAACAAAATATAATATATACAAGTTTGCAAATGTATGTCACATCTTACAACTACTGATATTGCATCGTGCTGCAAACAACTATCAGAAAATGCAAAAACCAAAATAATTATGTAAATTTTAAAATCTTTATGGTTGAAATAAATATTAATATTGGATAAATAAGACCTACTACATCCATGAATTTTAGAAATATCAACAGAAAACACATGCATCTTATGGGATTGATAATATATTTGAATAGCCACATCCATTCCATAAAATAAAAGCATTAAGAGTATCAACAAATAAAAATGATTCATTTTGAGATAAATGAACAAGGATTGGGAATTTACACTGGGATAGTGTTAGGGACTCAAAATTAGAAATGAATTAAATTTGAAATATATGAAAGGAATGACTAAGATGAAGAAACCAATCACATAATAACAGCATTACATTATAAATATGGAAAAGGAAAAGTAATTATACTAACATCATGCAATGAAGTTTAATCTGTGGTAACAAATGGCAAAATAAACAGTAATAAATTGTGTTTATAAAAGCAAAAATAAAGTTTAAACCATGTAATATCACCAGCATGAATATCAAAAAACGTAAAAAGCACCATTAAAAAATATAAATATTATAACAGCAACCAATTGTACAGTAGTTTTCACCTTCATTTAAAAAAGTATGACAATATTTGCATTTATTCAAAAAAATATCTCAGACTAAAAACTGGGCGGGGTCATGCGTGTAGGAATGCCACATCAGGAAACCAAACACTAAAGCTCAAGTTGAGCAAAACAGTAAATTCTATCTTACATGCGTAAAACACGATATCTGAAGTTGGGGGCAGCACACACCTTAGGGGTTATAAGATTGTTTCTGACATGTACCTTAAAGACCCATTATCAGCAAAACCTGGGTTTCTGAATTTTGTACAAATTGGTAAAACAAAAAGGAAAAAAGCAAGTTAGTTGACGGTATTAAAAGTTACTCCAATGATAAAGATAAGTTCTTTTTTCATAATGGTATTAGGGTCTACAATATAAATGAAATGTTACGAAGAGTGTTCCACACTCCATTCATAATTATTAAACCTTCCATATTGACAATCATGATATACAGTAGTTAAACATTAATTGAATGGTTACCACATGTTAATTAATAATATAAAATAATTTTAATTAATAATATAAGATGATGGTATAATGCTACTGAGCTTACCCTTGGTAATCGTAGGGATTGTTATCAAGAAGGTTCTGAGCATTTCCAAAGCTAACAGCATGACGCATACTCAATTTCTTTCTGTAGCTGTTGAATAAAACAGTTTCGATAACATGAATATTATACAAATAAACTGTTCAAAAAATAAGAAATTATATAATATGCTAAACCAAACACATAAATATCCCTCACCAATATGCACTGGCCTCACCTCTACATATTAATACATACTGTAGGCTCCATCATCACCCCATGACCTTATCTATCTGCTTTGTGTCATCACATGCTGCTTAAGGCCTCATTCATACATTACTTAATAGGTGTCTAAAATATAATATAATAACATGTCCAGAAAAAACAGAAAACAAAATAATTTGAAATAGCAGGTTACCTTTTGCGTAAGCAGCATACAATAACACAGAAAGCAAGCGTTCCAATAAATATGAGAATAGCTATTGCTATTAATGCGATCTCCAACAGTGCCCAGTTTTGTCCACCACTACCAGTAATCACAGGCTAGTAAAATAAATATCAAGTAATATTTATATTATAATGTATATACACATAAAATTAGTAATACAGTAAATAATATAATTTATTAAAAATTAATAAATAAAATGTATATTATAATAATAAATAATAATAACTATATTTTGATAATTTACATAATTTAATAAATTTTTCAATATCTGCTACTTACATAAGAATCAACAACATCAAAAAGTGCATTGATTAACTGAAAATTCTCATCAATTCTCATTAAAACAACATCAGCAGGCATTGCTTCATTTGTCTCTGGATCTACAACATTTAGGCTAATCAAGGTCTGCTCTGGGTCTCCCTTCTCATTCTCCGTAGTGTACAGCACAATATCGTCTATGAACACTATACCCCGAGTAATATTGCTCAACACTCTGTAAAACATAAAAAGCTCAGTAATATCCCCATATTATTAATATTGCTTTACACTAAAAATAAAAAAATATAAAAAGCTCATTAGGACTTGAAAAAAGATTATCAAAAAAAAATACATTTAGTTTTAAATCTCATATTAATACTGTATTTGATCAAATGTTGATTCCTACATAGCATTTTAATTTGGCTTACTAGCAGTTTGAAAAACTTACTCGATGAGCTGATCTTGTTTGGCTTGTACGTCCTCTATTGGTGCATTGACAACCAGGGCAACCCGTTCATTTGGATCAAGGACATACACCTTCAACAACAAACATTATTTATAATAATCATGGAAATCATCATTACTAAAATCACCAGTATCAACATCATTACATCTTTATTATCAACATCACCATCTTTACTATCATCATTATCACATTATTATTATCATCACTACCATTTTTGCTATCTTCATTACTATCTCTATATTAATAATTACCTTCTTCATTATTATCGATCCAAATACATCATCATCTTAATCTTCATAACCTTCATAATATTTGCCATCATCTTTATCACTGCTAATTTATACAGAAATTACAGAAACAACATATTTAATCTACATGTGTGATCTGTCAGATAAATGCCACTAACCTTCAAATTTGCCAAGGATTCAATACTGGATAAAGTGTCCATCGCCCTCACAGTAATATCAAAATACTCATATGCGTCTCCATCAACCTTTTTGCTGAGGGTGATGAGACCTGTTTTCTTGTAAATAGAGAAAGTGCTGTCTGCCTCTGCTTGAACACCATCCTTGACACTAGCGGTGGCCAGGATGGCGTACTCAGTTGAAGTGTGCTCAGCACTGTCTGCATCAACAGCGGTCATTGTAAAAATCTCTGTTCCAGGATCTGCTTCTGCTGGAACTCCTGTATAAATATATTTACACAAATTAGCGGTGATAATGGTATTCTATGAATGAGATACCTATATAATATTGCCATCTACCTTAAACTATAACACCTCTAAAAAACAATATGGTCGTTCAACCTAGTACAGCATATATCAATGCCATGGTGCGTCTTCATACCTTCATTGCCTTTACAGCATACGTGCCTTAGTTCTAACATGCTCTGTTTGAGGGACCTACAAATACTGTATCTAGAAAATGGTTCTATTACTTTAAGGTTTGTTCTAGCTTAAGGAACAATGATAATAGTTTCATTATCTGGATTTGGACATTCTAACAAAATTCTACTACTATTATATGTAAATAGTAACTCTCAATTGCATTATTTACTATTGAATTAAATTATATAATTAATAATGATATGATTAATATCTTGTGTTTTTATATGGTAGCGAAATTAAAACTTAATTTGAAGAAAACACACAGAGAAATATATTTAAAAACTCATACCTGCAATATATACTGCTTCTGCAAATACTGGACCATTGTCATTAACATCCTCCAAATTAATAATCACCTCTAACAAAGAGCGGTCAGACAGCAGGTCAGTAGTTGCTCTCTTCCTTCTCTGAGTTGTTGTGTAGACTGGATCACTCGACACTTTAACAATGAGACTGACTGCTGATCCAACTTCACGATCTAGAGGGCCCACTACAAACAACTCACCAGAATCTTTGTTCAAGTTAAACCTTACTGGGTCATTCCCATCTAAAAAGAATGTTTGAACATTTTACTTTGTTAATTGATGCATGGAGTTCTTAGAGTGAATTGCCTTTTTTTTTGTAAAGATTATAGTACTGTAGTATTAAGGAGCTTCAGGTAGCCAATGACGAGAAATATGCTTTTAAGAGAGTCACTTCAGTTCCTGTAAGCACATTTATATAATTTTATAAATTCTCAGAATCAATATATTGATCAGTAAAGTCTAAACAGAAAAATAATGTAGAGATAATTCAGAACCAATCACATAACATTTTAAATCATCTAAAAAACATACCAACAATGAAGTAATAGTAGTCTTTTTCCTTATCTGGATCGACAGCTTCCATGACTGTGCCAACATAAGTTCCATTTACTGCTCCTTCCGGAACAGACATCACTTGCACAGGAGGAACACCAGGCTCTATTGTAGGGAAACCTGGTTCATTGTCATTTACATCAGACACTTCTATTATGATCTCTTGTTGTGTGGTTTGTCTTGGTACACCATTGTCTTGTGCCGTTAAAACCAACTGAAGACAATAAAACAATGTTTATTTACATATTTGTTCATATATAACAGCAAGTAACCTGTCAATTTTCAGGATGGTTTGGTCCTATATAAACTAAAGTGAAGTTTTCAGTCATGACAAAGAAAATCTGCTTACAAGGTTTGAATACAGAACCGCTAATCAAACTCCGCTCTCATCAATTAAATAAAATATAGTTTAAATAAAAGTATCAAGAATTTATCAAGGGCAGTACACTCGGTATAAAAACTCATAGAATTGCAATGTCAGTGTATTTTAACCTTTATCAATAGGTTTCTGAACATCTCAATCAATTTGATCTCAGGGCTTACCGTGTATGTTTCCTGCATTTCTCTATCAAAGGTAGTATTACTGAGCAATCTACCAGTGTTGGGGTCGATGCTGAACTTGAGTAGTATATCGTGGTCTTCTGTTCTTGAATCATCAAACCCGTATGTGATAATGCTGCTGTCCCCAGCATCCCCATCTGTAGCACTAACTATTGTAATCAGGTATCCAGCATCAACATTCTGTAAAAACATCCAATCAAATTCAAGTATTAATTAAACACATGGTGACAAATCAAAGCAAGGTTAGAAGGTGAAGAAAACACCCTTATCTAGTCTAAATTTATGGCAAATTATATTCAAGTATTTAACCAATCGTGTAATATAAATTATACCTTAATTTTGAGTGCACAAATTGACTCGACATACATTATTTATTAATTCAGATTTAAAATTTCTTTCTTATGTTGAAAAAGTGAATATTATCAATAAAATATAAATATCCTACAATATACCAAAATATAAAAATGTCCATTTTCAGCATTTATATAGAATTCTGGTTCAATTATCATTAAAAGAAAGTAAATTTTGTTTTAAAGTTTAAGGGTATGATCATAGTGATACATTAGGGAGCTTTCGATTGCACGACGACGGTAGGACTATGGAGGACGTAGAACGTAATGACGTCAGTAAAAGTTATCTGCGCATGCAAGAACATTAAAGTCACTTCGTTGAGTCAATTTTGGAACGCAATCTGGCCAAATCTAAGTATGCAGAGAACATAGGATGCCAGGTAGGAGGGTCACGCATGAGTGATTCCGTTCTAACGTCGCGTCATTGCTCAAATCAAAAGCTCTTTATTATCAAAGTTCAAAACCTCACCTCAGGCACTGTAAGCCTCTGACCAGCCACTGGACTGATAAAAACTGGCTTATGATTGTTCTCATCATTAATCTTGATGGAGACTACTGTTGTACTTGATAAGGGATCATCTCCTTCATCCATTGCCATGACTACCAGGTCAAAGGTGAACACTTGTGGGTTTTGCTCAGAAAGCAATTGGACTGTTAAGATAGTTCCTGACTGTTGGTCTATTGTGAAAACACCTAATGTAGAGACAAACATAATTTGTTTAATAAAGTACTTCTTCTACAACAATATGCTGCATAGTCCAAAGGCTAAGATGTTCCACAGAGGTAATTTTATAGTAACTTATTATTGTAATGAGAGTATTCCTTTACCGTTTAATAATATTCCAACAGCAGTATTTATAATTATCAATGGACTTAAAAAACAAAAGATCTGATACACCCACATTATAAGCATTTAAGTATGTATTTTTATTTCTATAAATAAATCAAATGAATATTTGATTACCTCCATCATTACCACCAATGATACTATAAACAACTTCTCCATTGGCACCCTCATCCTCATCCTTTGCTGTTACCGTGACAACCACTGTGCCTATATCAACACTTTCTGAGAGCACTTGGATTGGTAAGAAAGAAGGCTCAAAATGTGGCACAACATCATTGATATCCTCAATAGTAATGGAGACCTAAATGAAAAGATATATGATATATAAGATATGAAACAAAAGCACATTCAAAACTTATCATCACCTAATTTATTATTACCATTGCCTACATGTGAATATACTGCAACTTACTTGAGTTGTTGAAGCCAACCCATCTTGGTTGCTGGCTTGAATTATGAGGGTGTACGATGCAACTAATTCCCTGTCTAGCATTGTAGTAGTTTCCAATTCTCCGGTGGATGAGTTGACTGCAAAGGCCTTAGCAGAATTCCCTCCAATGATGCTGTAAATTATCTGTGAAGTGTCGCTGCCAGCATCATTATCTACTGCTATACATCTTCCAACATAATACCCTGTAAAATACACAAATCAATCGTAATGTTGGTAGTCTATGAGTGAGATACTTACCTGGATAACCGACTAATTGCCATTGCTCCCAATACGGAACACCCCTTCGAAAAAAATGGAACAGTCCGACCCAAGGCGCCACGTGCGAACCATCTCCCTAACAAACGTCCTCATTCCCTTTTCGACGTTGTTCGAAGTTGGATACACTCTAGCCTTTGAAATTACTAGCAGTCTTTTCAAGCAATTCTGTCATCGCACGCGTCTGTTGCGCAGCACGGATTCGCATTTGTTTGTTCGTCTCATTTTCAGAGCTGATTTCCTAGCGAAGACGCAGACTTTAGTCGGTTATCCAGGTAAGTATTCACGAAATAGACTAAATTAGGTGCATAGTTGTTATCAATAATGCTAAAACCTGAAAACAAGTCATCAGTAATAGAAATATTATACTGAGCAGTAGAATTTTAAACTGTAAATGATTAAGAGGAATTTATTAGGTTAATCTAATATTAAATTGATAATAGATGTCAATCAGTCATCCTCTGACAAAAGTTTTCTTAAAATGAATATAAAAAAAAACACTGACTAATGTCTCAATGGAAGAGTCTTCAGAAATGTTTGCATAGTAAGTAGGTGATAGGAACTCAGGGTCATTGTCATTTACATCTAAGATTTCAACCTCCACTAGAGGCTGCGACGACATCTGAGGGAAACCATTATCAGAAATCTGTAATAAAAAATTACAATATGATCATTTCAGTTACAACAAGTAACATCTAAGTTTAGTAGTATACATTTCTTAAAGTAAACCAATATTCACTGTTATTTTGTTCTGTGGAACTTATATATTGGAAACCAGATGAAACTATTTAGCTAAATAAAAAATAATTGACATCATGCAAAATTCCTACCAATGGCATGGAAAAGGGGTTTGGGGAGGGAGGATGCTTATTGCAGGAAGGGGTTCTCGAAAATTCAAAGATGATGTAACAAAACTATATGCAAGCACTTGAATAATATTAATGCACAATAGGTATAAATAGATTAAAACATAAAATAACTATTACCTCAATTGTCAATATTGTGGTACTTGGATAGGCATTTGACTCCCTATCAAGTGACACTGTTGTAAATAGCTCCCCTGTCGATGAGTTTATTCTCAACAATGAAAGAAATTCTGTCAACAAATTTTTAAAATGCGAAAGGTTAGTAATAATAGGGAATATCTGCCCTAAATGTAGATGGGGGCTCCCCTGCTAATGCGTTTATTCTCGGTAACAAATTTTAAAAAATTATAATAATAGGGAATATCTGCTCCAAATGTAGAAAAGGCTAAGACACCTACCAACTTTTTTAGGATATCCAAATAATAGTATTACCATTTAAACAAAGTATATGGATGATAGGTCACTTAAAAAAGTCAGACTCAATGGATTACCTGGTGAAGTTGAGTTAGTGATTGTGAATGTCAGTTGCTGGTTTGGTGAATTATCTGGATCTTCAGCCACCACTTGGCCAATCAGAGTGTCAGCTGGAAGATTTTCCTCAACCTCGAAAGTGTATTGGTCCATAGAAGCCAGTGGTGGGAACTCATTAACATCTTCAACAGTGACAATAACCTAAGGATTGTTGGCAAAATTATTACTTAAAATATGCATGACGATGAAGAAAAGTTATATTATAGATATACTCCCACAAAAAAATTAATTAATTAAAAATAAAGAATTGACTTTCAGTATGTAACAGAAAAAATAAACAGTATTCAATGATTCTATAAATAAAATCCATAAATTTAAGCATACATGCAAAGGCTACAAAAATTGTGTAAATAAAATCATTCTAATATTCTGTTAAAAGCTTATACCTTATAAAATATATAAATCAGGCTATGTCATCCCAAAACCAACATATCATCTGCTTAATTAGCTTAAGAACACGGGATAATTAGCTTAAGAACCCGGGATAATTAGCTTAAGAACACAGGATAATTAGCTTAAGAACACGGGATAATTAGCTTAAGAACACGGGATAATTAGCTTAAGAACACGGGATAATTAGCTTAAGAACACGGGAGTATTGTGTACTTTAGTACACAGGAGCCATAATAATTTTACTCTTAACTTTGGCAATAGTACATCAAGTCCAGTAAATGTACCATTATTTTAAAGCTTATAATGTGAAGAATATATTGTTCTTGTCCTAGTAGCCCATGATGTATGCCTCTGAGTCATAACCTCAAGCTTAATGAACGTTTGAACTTTGACATGATTGGTTGTCTTCTCAAATTTCAATTCCTACCTGAGCTGAGCTTTCCCGCCTGTTGTTGACAGAACCAGATGGATTGTCCCTTGCTGTGACAGTAAGGGTATAGCTACCCTGTTCCTCCTTGTCAAGGGGCGCAGACACAATTACAAGACCCTGAAGCAAAGAGATACAGTACAATAGAGTGGTGTTTATAAACAACCAAATATATATAATTAGTTAATTTAAAAAAAAGAAAATATGAGGAATTATACTATCACTATTACTAGCCATTGTACATTTAACAACCAACAATTATTAATTTCGAATAAATAATAATGTTTTTGAAACTGCAAATTATGAAACATAAACATATGTAACAAAAACAAATTAACATACAGTCATCTGGTTAATGCTGAATTTTCCTTGTCCACCGGATAGACTGTACATGACCGTCCCAAAGCTGCCTTCATCGATATCGGTAGCTGTTACTTGTATAACATCTGCACTGACTACAATATTCTCAGGGATTTCAACATGGTAGTATGTCTGACTGAATACTGGGTTGTTGTCATTGATGTCAAGAACAAGTAGATCCAAATGCAGGATGCTTGACAGAGATGGCACCCCACCATCAGAAGCCTTGATCAGAAAGGTTAACTCTTCATTTGCTTCTCTGTCTAATTCTTGTGTTAGTGTTACTTGGCCAGTTGTATTGTCTATGGTAATGATCTCAGTTGTATTAATCAGTGTGTATAAGACAGCACCACTCAAACCACTGTCTGGATCATTGGCGTTAACATTCAGGATAACGGTGCCTATGGGTGTGCCCTCAGCAACACTCTGGATTATGTTGGCGCTGCTAAATGCGGGAGCATTGTCATTTACATCACTGATTTCAATACGAACCACAGCTGAAAGTAAAAGATAATGTATAAAACTAATTAAAAAAAATATATAAATATATGCATGAATATATGAATATATATTATAATACATAAATGTATGGTATTTGTAGGTAGGAATTTGATTGTATGCAACAAGGTTGTTTTCAGACAAACTATCCTATGTCATTATGTACAATACAATTAATATCAATTTAATATACAGCTTACCATCAGGATCACTGTCATAATAATCAGGATTGAAGGCAGCTAAATCTCTCGCGTTGATTGTCAGTTCCAAGCGCACCGCTATCTCTCGATCAATACCTTCATTTGCATAAATATCACCTGTCATAGAATCAAGTCGGATAAAATCTTGGAACAAACTGTCATCCGAAATCGGAATACTGTTACCATCAAAAGCTATTAAAGACATGACTGTGTATGAAATGTTAGAGGACGTGTCATCGTCTTCTGCAGTGACATTACCAATCAGCATCGGGGGTGAATTCTCCTGAATAACGTAGTTACTAATTAGCTTGGTAAACTTTGGCCGACTGTCATTGATATCGAGAATTTGAAGATAGACAGTTGAGTATCCTGTCTGTGGAGATGACCCTGTATCAGATGCGGAGATTGTCAAAGTAAAAAACTTTTGCTGTTCAAAATCAAGAGTGGTGGCAACCTATTAAGATAACAAAAGTAATAATTTGTAATATTACGATATCCTGATTTCAAAATTCTAGTGTAGGATTAATATAACTTAGAACAGAACAGCTCTAAATTTTAATAATAAATGTATGTATTGTAAGTATTTTATGTATTTTTCAATAAAAATGTAGAAAGTTGTAGTTATTAGTGTTTGCACTTGCATTGAGAATTACACCAAAAGTCATTCAAGTTTAAAATTGTTAAAATCTTACTGTGATGACACCAGAGGAGGAGTCAATTGTGAACTTATTTAATCCACCATTGTCAAGCTTAAAGGTCAAAGGGTAGCCATCTGGGTCACTTGCAAAAAGCTGAACAACAAATGTACCTTAAAGAAAAATTTAGGAAACAGTCTATTAACTATTTCTATAGTGAACAAAAACAAGAATGCACTTTAATTAGGGACTTCTAAATTTTAAGCTTTCATTTCTAAATAATTTCATTAAAATACAAGCATCTTTACTTCAAAACTACAACTCCACTTTAACTTTAACTTTTGCTATCTTTATAATAAAAATACACATATTTCTCAGGTGAGCAAACAAATTCACGGTGAGATGAAATCTATTAATAGACATACAAGGCTAGCAAGCAAACTACATGAATTACGTCTAGATTCAATACACACTCTGTTATATTCTGTTTAGTAGAAACGAAGAGGATGACTATGAAATTCATCTATTATATACTGCGCTTTATCTGTCACAGCATGATCTATTGTAACAAGAGACTGACAACTTACTGTTCGACTGTTATCAGGATCTTGAACATTATCTGTAGCTGCTATTACTAGTTCATATAAACTCGTTGTCTCCCTATCCAGGCTGTTATTAACAAACACAGTCCCAGTCTTTAAAGAAATACAAAACAAATCAATTAGATACAACACCACTTAAATATTACGTTTTGAGCTTTTATAAAACTAGTATACAATCAGTACTATGAATAATATTATTATGAATGCTAGCAATAATGCTTTAGAATATATCTTAGTTTATACAATCAGTACTATGAATAATATTATTATGAATGCTACCATTAATGCTTTAGAATATTTCTTAGTTTTTACAATCAGTACTATGAATAATATTATTATGAATGCTAGCATTAATGCTTTAGAATATTTCTTAGTTTATACAATCAGTACTATGAATAATATTATTATGAATGCTAGCATTAATGCTTTAGAATATTTCTTAGTTTATACAATCAGTACTATGAATAATATTATTATGAATGCTACCATTAATGCTTTAGAATATTTCTTAGTTTTTACATCATGTTTAACATTCAAATTTGATAATATTTCATAATACTTATAATCAATTAATCAGAAATATGATTTTACCTTACCAATCCTAAATACAGCACCATAAGTGCCTTCATAACAAATCAATTAGACACAAAACAACTAAATTTTACTCCTTTTCTTAGCTTGTATAGAAAACCTATAATGATTAATTAATCAGAAATGATTACCTCATCAATCCTAAATACAGCACCATAATTGCCTTCAATTATACTCAGTCTGATTGGTTGGAAATCAGCACCATCAATATCATATGCATTTACTTGGAAGACGCTAGCACCCACACTAATATTTTCTGGAACAGTAGCCAGATATGGGAGGTTATTGAACTCTGGACTGTTGTCATTTTGATCCAGTACTTGCACATAGAGAACCATCTGTGAGAATATACAAATTAGTATTTGTTTTAGTTAAAGTTAAATACACAATAATGCAATTGATTCAACCCTTCAAAAGGCTGACATGTATATGACTTACCATGCCAACTAATGCAGGGCTGCCTCTGTCAGTTGCTAAGATGCTGATATTATACTCTTTCTTAGTCTCGTAGTCCAAAACTACATTTATTTTCAATGATAGTATGCCCGTAACACTATTGATCATGAACATATCTGAAAAAAAAATCATTAAATGTGTTAATGTAACTCAAAATATACTGTATAAACAAATATACACTAATTGCTTTTTACACTTTTAAAATTCCTTTTTTCATCTCCACATTCATGACTAGCTCTCTCTTTCATTGTTTGTTTGTTGTTTTTTTTTGGTTTTTTGGTTTTTTTTGGGGGGTCTAGATGTGTATAAGAGACAGGGGGGGGAGTATTTTATTAACATTCAACTGAGACAATACGTGTACCTCTTGATTCATTTCCTAAGGAATAAAGAATGTTTCCACTAAGTCCAATATCATTATCTTCTGCAATGTATGTTCCAAGATATTCTCCACGTATTCCTTCTTGGACAAAAATTGGACCAACAAATGATGATGGAAAGGTGGGTACGACATCATTGATATCCTCAACTTGCACTGTCACCTAAAACAGAAAACAATTCATGCTTTCAATTATAAAAAAAATAATAACTTTACTATAGAGAATTAAAAGAAGAGTGATAAACTATACAAGGTATGGGTTGGGTGACCTCGACCTGAGGCAAATGTAGGTAAAACCTGTGTGTATTCCCTGCTTGCATGTATGACACCAGTGACTCACAATGAGCAGGTCAAGTGTTCTGCAGGGTCAATGGCCACCAAAAGCAGAAGCTATACAATAACCAGCAAACAAATAGAAAAAGCTTGTTCCATATAAGGAAAAGGAAAATGGAGGACAGAGGGCCTCTTCAAGTCAGCTGTACTACTGTAGTGCAGCTGTTAGAGCTACCCTCGTGAAATAAAGTTGAAATAAAAATAAATAAATAAGAAGTTAGTATACCAAAGCTTGCACATGTCTCTTTATCTTAGATAAGAAAGTATAATACATACTCCAAGTATTGAAATACACGCCATCGTGTTGGGATTCAATATTTCAACATTAATTATGTCAGGAATGAAATATTGAATCCCAACACGATGGCGTGCATTTCAATACTTGGAGAATGTATTATACTTTCTTATCTGAGATTAATCAGTGGACCTTTCGGTTCTTGTTATCTTGGTAAGTATATTAAATAAAAGATGGGCCTAAATGTAGAGGTACACTGAATAACACCCCAACATTTGTTGCAGCGTCCTGTAGGCAAATGAATGTTCTGCTTGTTTAGGAAGAAAAGTCAATAAAGTAAAAATTGAAGTGCTTACTGTGGCTGTGCTACTCTTTCTGTTGTTTTCATTGGAATCTTGATCAATTGCAGTGATCGTTAACACATACTCTTCCACCACCTCTCTATCAAGAGTTGCCAAGGTTGTTATCACACCCTGAAATTGACACCAAATTATTTGAATTTTGTTATTTACATTTAATGCATTTATATTACAAAAATAGACCTGAGGATTATTACTGTTAGTCATTTTATGAAAACTTCATAAATATTCATTTGTTCATTCATTCTTTTGTCTATGCATTCATATAATATTAAACCACAAATTATTTCATTCAGTCCAACATCTGCAAACCTTTTTCATTATTCCCTTTTATTTTCTTTATTACTTTTTATAAATATAATAATTATAAGTCAATCAAGAAATCAACACTGCAACTCAAAATGTTATTTTCCTATCCCCAACCATGTACTAATTTTTCATTAGACATCATCTTACTGTGGTGGAGTTGATCAAGAAGACATCCCCAATGTTTCCATCCTCAATAAAATATTGCACGTCTCCACTAGTTCCCAAATCTGCATCAGTTGCAAGCACTGTAGCGACCACAATACCAACAGATGATGTGCCCTCTATAATGTTTACAGTTTGGCTGCTCTCCTCAAATATTGGCGCATTGTCATTAGCATCCAGTACAGTGATTTCAACATAAGTTGTAGACTGAAAATAGAAAGTCAGGAAAATATTATAGGAGTGGTGTTTTGCCTACTTGACGTGTTGTTGTACCGAATGCTCGGTACGTTCCTAAGTACTTGCGAAAAAAGCCCATAAATACAGCCTTGATGCCTGTCAAAAAGAGTTTAATTCAAATATCTTACCTTTTTTGAAGGACTGCCAAGGTCTCTAGCTACTACAGTTAAATTATAAAACTCTTTGACCTCTCGATCCAGGTTAGTATAAGTAGTTGTTATGTTGCCAGAAATTGCATCAATGGCGAAAACACCAGGATTGCCAGCAGTGATGTCATAGCGAATGGCGCCATTCTGATCATCATCTGCGTCTGAAGCTTGGACATTAACTACAACTGTATTTGCCACTGAATTCTATAAATGAAAATCATTTTAACATGAACAAGATTTGCAAGAAAAGTGAATAAAATATGTCACATTATGTACTTAAACTAAAGACATTTAGCACTGAAGTGGTGATACATTAAATAATTATAATGTAAAAATAGTTACCTCCTTAATGGTGGCGCTGTACTCCTTTGCAGAAAATTCTGGAGTGTTATCATTAGCATCCTGTATGACAACTCTTATTAACAAGTTATTATGCTGTGAAGGGATTCCATTGTCAATAGCAGAAACCTAAAAAAACAATCACATGCATTAGAAAATCAATGACAAAAAGTAAAGATGTCAGAATGGGATGCAGGGAACAAAGGACTAGTTGGTTTATTGATACAGGCAATAAAAAGATAAACTGATAATCCTTAGAATCCTAGGATAAATAAAATTTACAAAAAATAGAAAGTAATACTACAAAATACAATCTTGAATATATAAATAATATAAATTAATAATTATGAACCTATTAATCCTAGTTTGATGTAAAGGAAATGTCTACAACAAAAATTAGTTTTGCAACTAAATAAATTATACTAATAATTGTCCACTTACATAGCATGTTATATGTATTGCTCTATGCACTTGAAATCAAGTAAAAGCTGTGTGTGTGTGTCATGTGTACTTACATTAAGAAGATAAGAAGACTGCATCTCTCGATCAATATCTGTTGTGGTATTAACTTGCACCCAGCCATCTGGTAGAACAGACAAGCTAAACCGTCCTTCTTCATTACCACTTATGAAATTATAGCTAATCTAAAACAAATTAAAATAAAAATTGGTTTAAAAATTCAATTTGGAAGAGAGACATGTTATTGAAATGTTATTGTATGGTCATGTAAGGTGTTGTTTTTAAATTGTTAAAATTTCAAAAGTGTTAGCAAGTATATGATATAATATACCACAACTCATTTAAAAAAGAAAGCACAACCAACCTGTGAATTTGGACCAAAATCTGTATCAGTTGCTATGAATGAAGTAACGAGGCTTCCAATTGGTGAATTCTCCATTATCTCAGCAATGACCTCTGAGCTCACATCAAACATAGGCTTATTATCATTAACATCAAGAAGAATAACACTGAATAAAGCAGAGCCCCTTTCAATTCCACCATCTGATGCAAAGATTGTAAATGATATCTCTGGACTAGTCTCTCTATCAAGATGTTCTTTGGTTGTTATTTCCCCCTACACAAAAAAAATCATTATTAAATGTTATTATTAATATTATTTTCAAGAAGTAAAGAGATCGCTAGCATGAATTGTCTTACGTAAATATGTTATTACACAATGGACATGTAGATCAAATATAAATACTTTACCGTAGTTGAGTTTATATCAAACAAGTTTGAAGCATCACCATTGGTATCAATGCTGTACACAACAGATGCTTGCCCATCCCTATCAATTGCTGTTACCTGAGAAAATTAACAATCATATTTCTTTAAGGTTTCCATGGTGAATATACACAAACAACAATCAAAATAATAATACAGTAATAGTAAAAAGAGTCCTTATATAGCACTATATTGATTTTTAAAATTTTATTTAAACCATATTTAAAGAGGATGACCCTTCCAGCTAAGCCAATGAGATCAACTGATATAGTCTAGACCAAAGTGCTTTATAGACCAAAGTGCTTATTATTACCAATTGTCATTGGATAAACTACTTAGCCATTAAAAATATAAAACCTTTCTAAAACTCTACGGAATATTCCGGGTTATAGCATTTATATTCCATAAGGAGAAACAGCAAGCAAAGGCCCATGCTCAAGTTTACAATATGACAAGTAAATACTAACTCACAACATTAAGTTGGCAGCTCTAAGAGCAAAAGTTACCTGCGCTACTGAATATCCAACCATGACATTCTCATACACATACTCTGTGTACCTGGTTCTCTCAAACCGTGGAACTTCATCATTCACATTTACAATCATGATCTTTACATTTGCATATCCAACATTGTTGGGTGGTGATTGGTCAGTTGCAGCAACGGTGAGTGTGTAGTTGCGAAAGGTTTCATAATCGAGGCTCCCTACAACAGTTAGAGCACCACTGGTGGGATTCATTCCAAACAAGCCTAATTCATCACCTGAAATAAAGTTTGTTTTAAAACTATGAACAATTTTACAATAAATCTATAGCGACGTTCCGCAAACTATGGGGGCATAGACACAACTGTATGGTATTATTTATTTAATAAAATAATATTTAATTTGTATACAATGAACTTTTATCACTGAGAGAATAGATAATGATGTCAAAATATTGTATATACAAGGAGGCTTCATGATCAAAAGTTCTTGCCAGGTTTTGGTATGTTGGTCCCTGGCGCGACTGGGCTGCTGGGCCGCGGCATGTTGCCTGGAATCGTAAATAGGCAGTGAAGTAAAAAGTTTGTGGAACGCTGATATATAGGGTCTTATTGTTCATTATTTATAGAGACATTTTTATTCATTAGCCATTAAATACTTTTTATCATGCCTCCTTGTAGTTACAACTGTGCATGTCTATGTCAAAGGCCAAGGCATCAAATATTCTAGCCTGTGGAATGAATACACAAATCAGCAGTGATGTAAGCTGGATGAGCCACGTATGCTGAGTTACATTCATATGTAAAAGATACAATTTTTATAATTATTTTAGTTTTTATTAATCTGAATACAAAAATAACATTCAAGCATAAAAATACAATAATGTAGATGGCTAACTATTTAATTGAATTGAGATTAAACATGCTAAATAAGATGCTGATTGATAAGAAAACTAATCAACTTTACCTGCTACAATGCTGTAAGAGACAACACCACCAGAACCAGTATCACGATCTGTGGCTGATACTATAACCACAACATCACCAGCTAGTGCATTTTCACTCAAATCAGGTCGCTGGTAGAGCTCTTGCGTGAACTGCGGCATTTCATCATTCACATCATCAATGGTAATATGGACAGTCGCTACAAATTAAAAGGTATTTATGATAAAAACCTACAACATATTTTACTAAATTAAATATATAAATGGTGACACAAACACATTAATACATAGTTTTTATAATTTTAGCAGCTTACTTTGAAGTTAAAGTGTATACTGTACTTGTCTAAGATGCTTCTGGTCACTTGTGTATTTTTATGCCTTATATATGCCTAGGTTAAACGATTCCATTATTTTTCGTGGGTAAGTTTCATTAGGAATCTGGTTTATATCACTTCATCCAGGTAAATATTTACGAAATACACAAATCAAACAAATATTACTGGTCATGTGACATATAGTGGGTACTAAATGTAAACATCCACATCATAAACTACAGTGTGCTCAGTTTGAACACAGTATATTGAGAGAGTTATGATGTTTTTTAGACAGCGACCCAAATTAAAGTAAAGCAGTAAATCTATGTTTCGTTTTCTTTTTAAATAGTGATTTATAATTACTATGGCAATCTCCCGTGTATTTTATTTAGGCTCTGGAATGCTGCTAATGTACTGTAGGCTACATACAGGTATTAGGCCTATTGATGCACTGTAGTGTAAGCCTTGACAAGGGCCTGGACCAGGGAGGGAGTTGTTATGCCCCAACTATTATATCTCTGTAGTCGAGTAGGGTAATAAAATTGAAAAAAATAAACCTTAACGGTACTGAATGCTCAACCGAACTTTGTCTGGGAAACAGGCTGGTGATGACAGGCCTGGTTGGTATGGTACATCCTAATGCCAGTACATAATAATAATATTTGTTTATGTCATATGATGATCATCACCCTTGGCAGTAACTACTATGTAATATCCTATGACTTAATTTTGGATTTAAAATAACTGTAAAATAATACTCTTACAACAAATGGGGAGATTTGTTTCCTATTTCATGCTGCGATAGTATTTGCCATGAATAATATTCTTGACTTAGGCCAAGGCCTAAAAAGTACCTCTGCTGGCGACGACCCCACTCTGGAGCAATGTACGTAGTGAAGGTACCGTACCTTTCCTTGAAAAACTTCCAGGCCTTGTTCCCACTATCCATTGGAGCCTTACCAAACCAAACTGGTAAGTGTTTGAAAATTTAATTTTGGAACACTTCTAAATGATTTACCAAATTATAACTCGCATTCCAACCAACATTTGCAGCATCTATGATGTGACTTACTGTACATCAACAACAAGGCATAGCCATATTCAATGCACTGTCATCTCGCGATCTTGATAGATGTAAACAAACCCTAATACCCACTATAAGTCATGTGACCCGAGCTGCCGATTCGGTCTATTAACTGTATTCATAATTGAAATTCTTACCAGTTGATTGTTCTCCATCTTGATTCGATGCCTGCACAATGAGACTGTGCAAACCAGCAGACTCAAAATCAAATGCATTCATACCCCGTGAGATCTGTCCAGTTGTGCTGTTCATTGCGAACAACGAGTTCTCATTTCCACTGATGATGCTGAACGTGATGTCTGCATTTACACCTACATCAGCATCGGTAGCCGACACCTGAATGATATTAGTACCCATAGGGACATCTTCTGCTACATTCGCTGTGTAGACATTCTGTGTGAACAATGGCCTGTTGTCATTCTCATCAAGAATTGTTACAATAACAAGTGCAGTGCTGCTCATGGCATCACCTTCTGCTCTGTCCGTGGCTAGGATAGTAATGGTGTACATAGGTGTTACTTCTCTGTCTAGACTGGTAGCCACTTGCATCCGACCAGTTGCAGGATCAATCCGAAAAGCATTGCCATAATTACCATCAAGAATTGAATACATAACTCCACCATTATCACCTGGAAATTAATAGAATATATAAAATAAAAATAATAATAGCATTTAATGCCAAAAATGGTTCTGAGCATTTCACATTTAGAGCACATGCTCAGTTCCCTTTAACCAGGAACACACTTGCACTCCTGGGTGGAGAGACACAACCGTAGGCAAAGTGCATTGCCCAAGGACACAACCAAAATTTACAATGAGAGTTTTACAACTCCTGAACTTAAGATTGAGAATTTGAAACATAACTGCTGCGCCAAAATGTTTCTGCTACGCCAAAATGTTTCTGCTACATGCAAATACCAGCTGGTATTGTCTTTCCCAAGGAAGAACCTGGAGGTTATTGTGGATTGCATATGTTCTTGTGTAGAGGCTTTGATGCTAATTCTTCAAATACTTACTAACTAGAGAGTATAATACATACTCCAAGTATCGAAATGCACGCCATCGTGTCAGGATTCAATATTTCGACATTAATTATATCATCATCATACCTGATGATGATATGAGTATGTATTATACTATCTTACTGACTACCCATGCTAAATCAATATATAATGTTTACCCTCATCATTATCAATAGCAAGAACTTGAATAACGGGTGATCCTGGAACAGCATACTCTGAAATTGGTACTTCATATTGGGCCTTTGTAAATTGCGGTGCATTATCATTAACATCCACCACGGTAATAGTGATTGGCACAGATACTGAGTACTTTCCATCTATTACCATTGCTGTGAGGGTGTAATGTGCCTTGGATTCTCTGTCTAAAGACCTTTGAGTTGTTATTTCTCCTGAAGTTATGTTTATAGTGAATTCCATGGAACTGTTTACAAATGAATATAATAAATGTGATGTAGAATCTGCATCAGAAGCTTGTACCTGGAAAAAATAAAAAAATATATTTGTTAAACAGTTTAACAACACTTAAAACAGAAATGACATGGCACGTAAGAGTGTAATGTGGTTTATGACTTCCAGTTAAAACACCATTTATGTAGCATGTAAAGAATAGATTGTGATTTACCAATTATGTGGCATGTAAAGAATGGATTGTGATTCACCAATTATGTGGCATGCAAGAATGGATTGTGATTTACCAATTATGTGGCATGTAAAGAATGGATTGTGATTTACCAATTATGTGGCATGTAAAGAATGGATTGTGATTTACCAATTATGTGGCATGCAAGAATGAATTGTGATTTACCAATTATGTGGCATGTAAAGAATGGATTGTGATTTACCAATTATGTGGCATGTAAAGAATGGATTGTGATTTACCAATTATGTGGCATGCAAGAATGGATTGTGATTTACCAATTATGTGGCATGTAAAGAATGGATTGTGATTTACCAATTATGTGACATGTAAAGAATGGATTGTGATTTACCAATTATGTGGCATGTAAAGAATGGATTGTGATTTACCAATTATGTGGCATGCAAGAATGGATTGTGATTTACCAATTATGTGGCATGCAAGAATGGATTGTGATTTTTATGACTTCTATTACAATATCCCTTAATGCAATATTACATGAACAAAACTGAAAGTATTATTTGTTAGAAAATATTTACCCTGCCAACAATAGTCCCTGAATCTGAATTTTCTTCAACTGTAAAAGAATAGTCTGGAAGAAGCGATACTGGTGCATTATCGTTGACATCAATGACAGTTATTTCAACTTCAGCTGAGCTTGTAGCGCTACGTGACTCGTCTCCATCTGCAAATATAGCACAATAAAACTTTATTTAGTTATGATATATTCAGAAACATAAAACTGAATGAATATTAGTTGAAGTGGTAATGCATTCATTAAAACTTACACATGCACATTTACAGAGGGTGAGGTGCAGAGTGGGAATAATATTCTATTTTCACAAGTGCAAGGAGCCACTATAAAAACAGACAAAAATTAGGATGTGGTTTTCTTACCATCTCTGACATTAACAAATAGAGTGATGAAACTAGATTCTTCCCTGTCAATCTCTGTCACTGTGAACAGCTCTCCAGTGGATGAATTAATAAAAAAGTCTGCATTTGGAGGCTTGATTGTGTATATGAGTTGACTGTTTTTGCCTTCATCAGAATCGGTTGCTTGCACCTACATTCATATACATAAAAAACAAATTTGATAAAAATGACAATAAAAATATGAGAATACAAAAAAGGTAGCTTAAAAAAGAATTTCACTATACGAACATTAATCCTTGTGTTCAGAGTACATACCTAATGATTGGATAATTAATTGACTACTGTTTTGATTGAATAATAGGCTCTGCATAGCTTTAAAAAAATATTTTTGAGGGATTCATTTGAGCTGATCTGACAACTGACATGAGTAAACTGTTTTTTAAATTTCTACATGGGCTTTGAACAAAGAGGACCAGACTTAAATGAATCTTCTAGTTGTAGTTGTCATCATTATCATCATCACCATCAAAATCGAAAACATTCCTGCAACTCTGTGATGTACGGAGAACCTCAGGAAATTTGTCTGGCATGAAAGCACTCACGTTATCATCATCACCACCATTAAATACATCTTCGTAACTATCATTTCTAAATTACTTATAATATAATTTACCATACCTGCAAAAGTAGCCCTGGAGAGCTTCCATCAGTAACATTAACAGAATAGGTATCTTGTATCCATATAGGGTCATTATCATTGGCATCCAGAACCATAATTCTAACAGTGGTCTCTGAGCTTAAACTAGGCTGGCCTAGGTCCTCAGCTCTGATAGTTAACACATGTGAAGGGCTTGTTTCCCGATCCAGCGGTTGAGCAAGGGTCAACACACCCCTGGATTGGGTCAGTAGAGTAAACAACCCTGGAAATATAGACAGATTAATGATTTTAAATTTTATACAAAAGCCTTAGAAAACAAATACATTATATCAATGACTAATATTGTATATATATATATCAATTAATTTATACTCACCATTTTCATTGCCAGAAATAATTGAATACTGTATTTCAGCATTCACTGTAGAGTCTGCATCCGTAGCTGAAACATCACCAATAACATCACCTGGCACTTCATTCTGTATCAAAAAATATGTATCATGTTAATGGTCATATATTAATCATTGAAAAACACATAGTCATGCTTATGAACAGTAATTCAAGCTATTAAAAATTTATAATAAAACCACGCAGTACTTACAATGTATAATGAAAATATGATATAATTCATTAATTAACAACTTATTCATATTCTCGAATGTTTAATGAGAAAAATTTTACCTCAGACACTTGGAAGTTGTACACTTCTTTTGTGAACACTGGTGCATTATCATTGACATCTTGTAGAAACACTTCCACAATAGCAGTTGCTGCACCGGTACTGATAATGAAAACAAAGGTGAATTAAATCTAGAATCATATGACTAAATTTGAATAATTATATATGAGTGATAATGATGGCAAACTACAGTTGAGTGGGAATAAGCATTCTATTTGATTCTTAGACACTTCTTATACCAGCTACTCTCATGGCAATTCAGTTTATGACTCAGAGCCATATTTATATTTAAATTAAAAATCTGATTGGTTAACTGGTAGAAATGCTATCTTTTCCCATGATTTCATGGCTTTTAAAGAAAATTAAAAATTTTAAATATTTAATTATATTTTTATGTTGAAATATGTAAGTTTTAATTTGTATATAATATGAAATTATATAATCAAGTTTATATACATACGCAGGTGGAACTGGAGAAGTTCTGGCTTCTGCAAGAATAATTAGTGTAAATGAACCAGTAGTCTCAAAATCCAGATTTCCAGTGGTTGATATATTTCCAAGCAATGGATCAATAGTAAAGAAGCCCTATAGAAAAAATTCAGAGGGTTTGGTTAACACCATAATTATCTAAAACATAAATAATGTAATTAATGCGTTGAATCCCAATGTTCAATCAATCGGCAAGCCGATTAAACAGGTACAAAGCGTTGGGTACAAGCATTGTTGAATGCCAGGATATTGGGGCTAACAACCCTTCAAACATTTTTGCATGTTATACTTTTCTACACCTAATATTTCCACATTTTGTTTTTGCAGAAGGTTCTTGGACTGTACATCAAAGGAAAGATAATGTTCCATAAACATTTTCACTTTTACAGTAACATTGATAATAAACAAATATAATAAGTGAACTCATACATTGTCATTGCCACTAATGATTGAGTATGTCACATCTGTGTTGTTGAGTTGGTCCCTATCAGTTGTGCTGACCATGGCAACTAGATGTCCTACTGTCGCATTTTCAGGTACATATGCCGTGATTTTGTCTGTGGAATAAAAGACAATAGGTTAGAATCATCATTATTATTACACTCATGATTATAATTATTAAAACTCAATGATACGTTTTACTTACTGTCAACAAAAACTGGGTCATTATCATTAACATCTGTAATTCTAATGGTAACCATAGCGCTAGATGACATCTGGCTTAAACCTTGTCCTCCATCCATGGCCACAACCTATTACAAAAGTGAGTAGAATTTTAAAATATATTATATTTTATCCTATTTGTATACATAAATCAATAATAAAATTGTAAATTATCTGCATGAATCTATATAACATAATTTTAATAAATTTTATTTTTTACAAAAAATGTCAGGTGTTTTATTGTCTTGCCTCAAATTCAATTGTCTCAGTTCCATCATCAGCTTCAAGGGTTGCTATGGTAGAAACACTGCCGGAGACAGCATTCACTGTAAAGTAGCTGTTAGGTGGCTTTAGTGAGTAAAGGATGGAGGGTGAGCCGTAAATAGAAGAGCCATCACTATCTGTTGCAGACACGGTCAGCACTTCGTCTCCATTTGCAAAGTTTTCTGGGATTGTTGCTTCATAGCTGGGTTGTTTAAATACTGGTGCATTATCATTTTTATCCTTAAAACAAAAGCAATTTGATATTATGAATAATTCATCCTTTTATCAGCAACAATTCAAGTAGTGGCAATCTGACTCAAGAAAAAACAATAGAGCAAATAGACCTAAAGAAAACAAAAACAATTAAGTATATGGCTAGTATATACCTGATTATAAAATATATACCTTTAATGGTATAACATACAGTATTTCAAATGCTAGACTTACTATGACATGAATGTTGAGAGTGGCTGAGTCTCTTAGTCCTTCAGAATCCTCAGCAACAACAGTTATTGCCAGTGGATTACTCATAATAGTTTCAAAGTCCAATGTTTGTGTAGTGTAGATGTATCCACTCCCTAGTGAGGCCATTATAATGAAGTTGTCAAAGGTTGTAGATGTTGCAGTTGTGCCATTCGGGAATGTTTTTAGGAAAAAGTAGTTTACTAGGTTGTTGGATGACAAATCAGGATCATCTGCCTAAAAATCATATAAATACAATAAATATAATCAACTTTAAATAATGTTATCTAGAGCTTAATGAATATTTGTAAGACGACTAAGTTACTGAAAATATAACTCACTCGAACAGTTGTTATTTCTCGTCCGACGCTGTACATCTCGTTCTCCTCAACATATGCCTCATATATCTCTCTTGTAAATTGCGGGGCATTGTCATTCACATCCGTCACGTATACTGTGACACTTGTATCCGCAGTTCTTGGAGGAACGCCCCCATCGGAAGCAGTTACTGTTAGAACATGATTTTTTGATTCTTCATAGTTGAGTGGTTGTGCCACAGAGATTTCACCAGTACCAGAATTAATTGCAAATCTGAAAGATATTGCAAAGATGTTATGTGGATGGCCTAATATGAAACATTTCCACAATGATTAATACTGGGCATGGTAAGTTTAATTATGGTGATAATAGGTATGGTGTGTATATCCCTTGTTTCTTAACTACTGTACAACAAGTGCTGGGAACCAAGGTGGCCAAGGCCTGTAATATAGTTGTGGTCAGTGTAGATGTAAAGAGTATTAGGTGTACTGAATTTAGGTATGGTGAATATATGGTGAGAGTAGGTATGGTAGTGTTGGTAGAGGATGTGTAGGTGAAGTTAAGTATAGGTATGGTGAGTATAGGTACTCCATTTACTTATTTTATTTATTTGTTCTTTACCCTGGGTTTCCTCTTCAGTAACATATTACTGTTCTCCCAGAGGGCCCAGTACACATAAAACATTAAAATTTGAATATTTACAAACCATTAAAAAAAGTCAGTCATAATTAAAATAAAAAAAGCCATCACCACAACAACTTTCATTTCCACAACAAACATCACTAACCACAATCAAAAACAAAAACAGTCAAAAAATTTAAATGTAAAAAAAAAACACAAATTATTCATGTTCATTGACCCCCATGGACAGAGTTCCAAATTCTGCTTCCATGAATACAAACCGCCTCCTTCCAGATTCAGTTCTAGAAGGTGGCAGAGCAAAACATCCAGCAGAGCTTGATCTAGTGTTGTGGTTATGAACTCTGTCCAATGGTGTAAACACGTCATTAAGATATATGGGAAGTCTGCCATTCAAACATTTTTTAACCAAATTAAGTGTATGTTTTTCTCTCCTTTCGGGGAGAATTGGCCATCTGGGACTTTGGTGTAAGTTACCAACGTATAAAGTTGATTGAGGGTTCTCGTGTTGATGTACAATGAGTATCGATGAAGTGATTATAAGAGTGGTGAGATAGTGATGAAGTTATTATACCTGTCTGACCCACTTAAGGTATAAGTAATTTGCCCGAGTGACCCTAGATCATTGTCAGCAGCGATAACTTGTATGACTGGGCTACCAACAGCAACATTCTCTTGTAAATTAGCAATGTAGGGTACAGGAGGGAAGATTGGTGCATTATCATTTTCATTAATGACATTGATCATTACTGTGGCTTCACTACTTAATTCTGTGTTAGTCGTGTCCACTGCAACGATCTGTAACATAGAAAAGATCAATTCAAAACTTTAAATTACAAAGGTTATTCTAATATTTATGTTCTTAATAAAAGTAAGTTGATAGTTAATGCTACCAAATGCTTTATTTTTTATTAGTATAAACTGATAATCTTGTAAATATTTAAGTATCAAAATCAAGATAATATCCTTTCACAGCTAAAAATAAAGGTTAAATATCATAATTCAGAAATATGATCATCATTCAAATTTAGCAAAAAAACTTAAAGCCAAGTGTTCAAGTGAAATGGTGATGGATGGCAATTTTAACTAAACAAAAACATCATGATAATTTGGAGTATAAAATTTCTTTTATCATATAACATCACAAAGTACTTACTTGAAGTGAGTATGAGGTGCTACTCTCATAATCAAGGGACTGTAGGAGGGTGAGGTTAACCTCTGTACTGCCACTAGCCTGCAATGGTGTAATGCTAAAAAGCTCTGAGTGGTTGCCTTGTAATCTTAATGAGAAATCAGCATTTGTGCCCTGAAGAAGAATCAAATAAAATAACAGAAAAAATCTTGGTATCAAGCACTCCACTGGGTCATATAATTAAAAGGTATTAATCTTTATCATGCCCTATAATGTAGCTAGTTGTTGTTGTTCACTAAAATGAATTAAATCAGTTTACACACAAGAATGTCAAATTATTATACAACATATTAGGTACATACATAGCTTGTGAATGATAGTAAAGTACTTTAATGCAATCCAATCTTTTAAATGGCATCACAAGCGTGGGCTGACTAGAGCGTCCTCAGGCTTTAGACACCCCTGACCAAAATATATATAAAAACATTTCTAAAAAATGTTTAACACGTTGGCTGCCAAAGACGAGTATACTCGCCCACAGGGTGTTGCTGAGGGCGCCAGGAACGAGTATACTCGTCGAAAACGGGGGAACATTCTAGCGTTTGTAACTTCTTTATTATACCATGGAGGTATTCATTATAATACCTCCATGGGCATAGTGAGTAAAAAGTTCTGTCACAGTGCCATCGATGAGTATACCCCCTAACATTTTCCCGCCAATTTATTAGACACGTCATTTTGATGATATATGACTAGATAAAATTTCAAACTGTATGTTTGTACATGTAAACTTGTTTTGGCACATGGGAAGGAACCGTAAAAAAAGGTCTGGCAGTCAACGTGTTAAAACATGTGCCCCCACCATTGCCCATCCCCACGATGTCTGCATGATGCCACTGGTCCTTGTTCAAAGCCAGTTTGTCCTGTCCCTAACCAATGTCATTAGCTCTTTGAAATTATTGACATGATGCACTGTATTAGATCACCATATATTATTTTGTTGTAACAGTGAATATCATAATTTCACTTAATAATGCACTTACCATATCAGCATCACTGACTAGGATCTGTAGAGGGAGCTGTTGTCCTTGCTGGGCACTTTCTGATATAGAAACATCATATTGTGGTTGGCCGAATATTGGAGCTTGGTCACTTACATCCTCAACCATAATGGAAAAAATAGTGCTAACATTAGCTCCCCCACTGCTGCCAAGTTCAGTAGCCTAGAATGAAAATGTAGCAATTAAATGACAGAAATTAAGCTGAAAGTACTGTAATGCATTGTGAACTGCATGGTTATCCTCTACTGACTTTACTACAAAATACTGCACAGTATATATTATTTGTATCCGACACATAGTAATCAGTTTTATGTCTGTTGGGTATTGTTTGTATGACACACAAGTGTAGCCTATGCAATGCTGTGTATGCCAATATAAGGGAGTGTAAAATATGTATAGTCGTGTAGAACTTTGCATTTTATAACTTTTCTATTTCAAACAGAATAATAATTATTTAAAAATAAAATTGAACAATATATTTACCATGACTGTGAGTTGTACAATGCCAGAGAAGCCTTCCATATCCCTATCAATAACGCTGTTTACTGTTACATTGCCAGTAGCAGGATTGATATAGAAAAAGCCTGCTTCGTTACCACCAACTATGCTATAACTGATTACATTTGGTACACCAGTATCTTGGTCAATCGCACTTACTGTTGTCACAATGGTACCCTAAAAAAAACAAGCATTAGAAAATTAAAGCATTTGGTTCAAAACAAAAAATCTTTGATTCTGAAGTCCAGTAAGACGTTGTATAGTGATACACAAGCTAATTGTGATAGCTACACCTTAAATTACACATGGAGAAACAATCAAACAAATTCTGCATCAAGCATTCTATAAAATATTTAAATCGATACCCTTTCATTCATGTACTTACAATTGGAGCATTTTCTTGTACAGTTGAAGTATATGGTGTATTCACAAAAACAGGAAGCGAGTCTTGAACATCCTGAACCTCTAATATGAAGTCAGTGGTGTTTTCAAGACGTGGTGATCCTAAGTCCTATATTAATATAAACAATTGGAACACCAGTTGGTTCATATCCAGGTAAGTATTCACTAAAGAGACCTTCTAATTAGCATGGTATATGTATTTATGGCTCTTCCGACACAGGCCTATCCTTAGGAAGTTGCTTTCTTCTTTCTCCATCACCAAAATGAACAATGCTACTTAGATTGATAATTTGTTACTTAAATTGTACATTACCATTTTATATTTTGTAGTATTATTTTTCCTTATATTTTTAAAGTGAAGCTGATATTTTTGTTATAAACATTTCATTTGAATTAAATTTTCTTGTATAATTGTAATATTATGCAAATAGATATTTTTGTTATAAACATTTCATTTGAATTAAATTTTCCTGTATAATTGTAATATTATGCAAATATATAGAACTTTAGGAATAACTGATTCATAAAAGCTTTGTAGTACATCTAATGATAGTCATTTATTTCTATTAAAAATATCACACAACATTGAAGAAATGACTGACTTGCATACAATCATCCAACTCAAAAAATTAAGCCATTCCCAAGCAATAACTTACAAAAGCTTGAACTGTAAACTGGTACGTTTTGGTGACCTCATGGTTCAGTTGCTGCTTAAGGAGAACTCTGCCTGAAGTCAGGTTAACAGAAATAATAGTTGTATTCTGAAAAAAGAAAATGATAAGAGAAAATTATTTGAATGATCTGAATTGGACATAAGGGGCAATGCTTGCATAGCATCAAATTTCAAATATGATATTCTCTACTACATATTTCATTTCATTCTAATTTTAAAATTTTCATGTCTTCCAACAGCATTAACACTAATTAAGATATATAATCAAAATATGATCAGTACAGTGCACTATTAATAAGAGTAAATAAGTTAAAATTATAACAATAAACATCAATAAATGTCTATAAAGTCGTTACCTCTAGGAGTTGGTATTCAGCACCTTGAATCCCTGTGTCAGGATCTGTGGTTGAGATAGTTGTGATGAGATAGTCAATGGGTGCATCCTCAGGCACTTGGAATCTGTATGGCGTGTTTACAAACTGAGGAGCATTGTCGTTCACATCTGTGACTAGAATAAAGGAAGGGTATTCAACCTACAAAATAAAAAAAAAACATATTAATGCAGAAATTATTTATAGTATTTAAATTTGACACTTATACAATGTTTTTGCCAAAGGCACTTGAAAATAAGAAGCGGGAGAAAGACTATTGTGGAAAAAATGTGATTTTAAGAATTTTTTTAGACAACAACAGGATTGTTTGCTTGATGAATTTAACCCGGAAGACTTGGAAAATATACCGTCAACAATCAGAAAGCATGTGAAGCTTACGCATTAGTGCACACAGAGTGTCGATAGCAACTATTGTCTAAAAAAATGTAAATATCATAAAAAATGTCTTTTGTTTGCAACAGTTTGGAAATTCCCAACATACAAACTGGTAATTTGATGATACAATATAAAATGTTGCGTTTCTCTGTAAGTGTTCAGAATCGACTGACAAGCCTTCAACAGAGGACAATCTGAAACCCTTTTACCTTCACTACTCTACTAATATCAACAACATGGCTACTAAGGTAAAGTAAGCTCAAATGAATTAATAATATATAGTTGCATTTTCTTAAAAGTAGAAAAGGTAGCTGTGTTAATCTAGATGATTAACAGTAAATTAAAGACTAACAGCACTTTTCAGACAAGCACATTTTATTATTGCGTGAGCTTTCAACCATGCAGTGGTCTTCATCAGGTGAATGTCATTCACCTGATATATTTACTTTACTATTTACTTATGAGAACTTCAATTTACTGTTGTTAATTAGAATGGAAAAAGTCTGTAGTCTAAATTATATTAACTATCAAACTTTTGACACCATGATTTTCAAATTTTAAAACAGAAAAAGAAAGTCAAAACTGTAGTTGATGACCAGAAGCCGAAGCGTGTATTTGGAGATTTCCAATGTTCAAAATGTAATCGGACTTGGTCAAGTGCTAACACTTGGACTGGCATGCGCCAGAAATGCAAGATATGCAAGATTTATGTTTCCCCTCATAAAACGGTAACATGGATTTTATTCACTTTCATCTAAATAGTAGGAATATTTTTCTTTGAAGAAACCAAGTAGATTTTGGTGAAACTTACCGATGTTTCAAAGATTTTATTTTTATTTGATCTGATTTATTTGTCTTTCATTTCTGAATACAACAATAGAACATACAAATTTCATAACTATTTATAAATCTGAATAGTTTTTTTTTTTTTTTTTTTTTTTAATCACTTTTATTTACCATTTATTAATAGACCTATACACATTCAAATTTCTACAAAATTGAATTGAATAAAAGGTAACAAAAACCCAGACTTGTCATACTAACAAACATGCAGGGGTACCACAACGCAGGAACTACACAAACAAAAAACAAAGAAACAACGTAAAACAAATAATAAAAACAAAAGTAATTATGTATTTACTTTTATATGTACTATAAAGCTCATGTCTAAATTATCAAGATTCTTATTTCATTTTAAATGTTTCATTTACTATTCAAACTATGTACTGTACTATGTTAATGTTACATTATAAAGGTATGTCTAGCTAGCTGGGAAAGTAAATTTATGAGCTATTCTCTTGAAATATAAACAATATATTAAAGGAAGAATTAAATATAGTCGCTAAGTTTATCTTTGATTTTTCCCTTAGAATCCGCTAAGACGAGGTAACACAGATTACAATAAAGAAAAGCATCCTGAGGAGCTGTGTGAGATGTGCATAAAGCTTCGTCATTCCTGTAAAAACTGAATCAAATGCAGCAACAGACTGACTGTGCAACTAATTAATTGTTAACACTGCTTCAACTTAGATATAGAACAGCACAGGTTTTTGGTTTATTGGGTTTTCCATGTTGAAAAATAGTTGAATAGATTGATTATTTATTGTGATTACATAAAAAAACATTAATTTTAAAATGAAAATTTAGACTAACTATAATTATTATTTAGAGTGGAGTTTTAACAAGGTGCCAAATTCAACCACTTTAATGATCTTTTCTTTAAATACAAAAATGATATCAAGGCTACCTGGAGTACTATAAATTCTCTTATCAGAAGAAGCCCTAAAGATCAGCCAGATACCTATTTTGATTGCAATGGTGACCTTACCAATGACCCAGACAAAATTCAAGCACATTCAACAAATACTTTGTTGAAATTGGCCCTTCACTATCTAACAATATCCCCAATGCGACATTTCTTTTAAAGAATTCCTACCCAACCCTACACGAAATTCGTTATTTCTTACCCCTGTAGGCATTAATGAGGTGGCCACTGTTCTTAATTCTTTTAAAAACAACAAGTCACCTGGTATCGACGGTTTTCATACCAAAGTAATAAAACATGTTTCGGATTTAATTTCTATCCCCTTATCTCATATATTTAATCTTTCAATCTCTAAAGGTGTTTTTCCAAACAGAATGAAGCAAGCCTGTGTAACTCCCATTTTCAAATCTGGACTAAAATCCGATATTTCTAATTATCGTCCCATATCAATACTCTCTGTTTTCTCAAAAGCCTTAGAAAAAATCATTTATGACAGAACAATAAACTTTATTTCAAAATATAATATCCTTTACAATAAACAATTCGGATTTAGGAAAGGATACAATGCCCCTATGGCCCTTATTGATCTTGCCAACAAAATCGTTGATGCATTTGAAAACAGGCAATTTGCTATCGGAAATTTTATAGACCTTTCTAAGGCTTTTGATACGATCAATCATAACATTCTCTTATACAAATTAGCTCATTATGGAATACGCGGCCCAGCCCTAGATCTTTTCCAGAGTTACCTTTCAAATCGCAGTCAATGTACCAAATATTTTAACTCCATTTCTAATTCCCTTCCCATTACTTGCGGTGTTCCTCAGGGGTCTTTGTTAGGTCCATTACTTTTTATTTTATATATTAATGATATACATTCGTCCTCTAATCTTCTTTCTTTTTTTATGTACGCAGATGACACTACTATTTTTTATGCTAACAAAAACATTCAAGCTTTATGTGACACTGTTAATGCCATCCTTATTTGCCTGTCTAAATATTTTTCTACCAACAAACTTTTAATAAATCACAATAAATGTAACTTCATTCTGTTTCGAAGCCCCCAGATGTCAAAATTTCATGACCTTTCACCCTTAAAAGTCTATATCGATAATCATGCCATTCCAAATGTTCAACATACCAAATTTCTAGGGTCTATCTTGACTGTGGTCTAACATGGAAGAAACAGATAAACGAAATTGAAAATAAAGTCTCCAAAAGCCTTGGTATCATTTTTAGATTATCCTCATTTGTTCTCCTCAATGTACTACGTTTACTGTATTGCTCGCTAATTCTTCCTTATCTGAGCTACCGCAACATTGTATGGGTTAATACCTACCCCTCAAACTTAAATAAACTTCACATTATTCAAAAAAAGGCTATCAGGATTATATCTGGCGCTCCACCGCGGTCTCATTACTCTAGGTTATTTTCAAATTTAAATTTACTGAAACTCCCTGATATAAATTCTCTCCAACAAAGTATTTTTGTGTATGCATCCTCTCACTCCATTTTACCAAAGTATTTCTGTGATATCTTCAAACCTAATTCCTCTTCCTCAATTACTGTACTTGAGGTAGATATGATGTATACATTCCCAATCATAAGACTAACTATTTTCAACATAATATTAGATTTACTGGCCCTAAATTATGGAATTCTCTACCTCCCTTAGTTGTCGATTCCATTAATAAAAAGTCATTTGCTATCCAGCTCAAGAAACACATTATTTCTAATTATTAATATAGTCTACTCCCATATTATCCTTTTTTGCACTAATTAATGTTCGGTGTTTCGGTCCAATTTGAACTGTTGCTTTCTTCGTTTGCGTGTCTTCTTCATCCTGTTTTGTCCTTGTCCTTTCAATTTTCTGTTTGTTTTTCGTGTCTCCCTTTTATTTCAGGCTGACCCGTCACAAAATTTTCTTCCTGGGTCTTTGCCTTTTTCCTTTTCTCTTGAATTTGATATGATCTTGTCTTATTTGTATCAATTGAAAAGGAATTAAATAAATGTTACTTTGAATGAATGAATAGATTAAAAGGATTATTAAACCATATGTTCTATATGTATGATCATGTAATTTCAAAATAATCAGATAAACTATGAGGTAATCTATAAAAAATAAATTTAGAGACACATAATTTATGAAGTTTAGATATATCTAATATTTTAAGTGAATAAAACAGTGGTGCTGAATGTGCTCTAAAATCAGCAAATGTAATGCACCACACACACATTTTTTGTGTAACTAAAACAGGCTTCAAATAAGATTCATAAGTATTACCCCATACCTCAATGCCGTAAGTTAGATGTGGCTGAATAAAAGCATTATAAAGCATAGTAGTGTGCCCTCAGGGATACAGTGCCGATTCAAGACCACCCTTGGGACCTAAAAAATTTGGGGTGGTCTACGTGTTGGTCACCAATTAGAGGGCTAGCTTTGTGATAAAAGGTTGTATATTGTTATTTGGGTCATCCCCTGCTTCATTATGTGACTGCGAATGCCCATCTACTCTTCCCTAATGTTGTTAAAGTGATAAAGTCAATAAATCTATTAAAACATGCAGAAACTGTAGAGTGTCTTTTTTAATGTGTACAAGATTACTTGTATCATCGATCATTTTGTGGAAGATTTAGCAGCAGCAAGAATACATCAGGAACAATTTACTGTTGACAATACAATGAGATACAACATAAAAGGTGCAAAACATATTTAATTAAGAAATATGATAATCAAAAATTCAACAATCATTTAATCACCATCAGCACTATCAAACACATTTTTTTGCATCTTTGCATAAAAGTTCTAGCATGTAATCTCATCAACATTTCTAAGAAAACACTTACTATGATAAACTGTTCAGGTGTGTTATTATTGATCAACACTTTGATAAATTAAATGTCAACACTTAATTGTTAGAGGCAACCCATTCATATGAATTGGAAATTCCAAAAATACTGTATACTGGATTTTCCCACTTGAACTATATAAATACGTAATAATTATAAGTTGTGGCATAGATACACAAAACTCGGTGTACAACATTATATAGCTGAAGATAACCAAGCAAGCAAATATGTCTCAGGTATGTACAACTACAGTATAAGATGGATCGGCAGTAATGCCCAGGATGATTTAGAAAATAGTAGGGGATACAATTCAGCTGCACAATTAACTTGCATGTTTATACTATTCCTACAAAAGTAGCCTATATACACTACTAAAATAACAGTACCATATAATAAATATGCAATATCATAGTTTAAATTGTAATAATCATGTATGATTTTCTGATTAGGGCAAGGGTTTAACTCCATATCAAGGCAAGAAGCGTGTGTTTGGTGAATTTCGTTGCCCAAAATGCAATCGTATGTGGATGAGTGGAAATAGTTGGGCTGATTTTGGCCAGGAATGTCAGACTTGCAAGGTTAATGTCTACCCTTACTCACAGGTGAGTCAGCTTCTTTGAACATTTACCATGGCTCCCATGTCACGTCCGTGTGTTGCACAACAAAAGGGTATTAAGGCATTATTTTTAAGCTTATTAATAGTACTTTATCAAAATTGTGACGCATACACGTTAAAAGAATGAAGGGAACTCCGATTCTACCGAACG